GCTAAAGTTCATATTTTCAAAGTCACTTCGCTCTCTTTCGCTCACTTTCGTCAATAAAGTCACTTTCGTATTTTAGGCATACCAATAGATAATATCTCGGCTTCTTGTTTTACATACATTTATACATGTATAAAACTATAAGGTATAAATTTACATTCTAATGATTACTTGCAATTAAAAAAGAGACTCTAAAAAACACAGCGACTGATTTGTGTCATTGGTGTTCATGTTAAAACGATCTAAAGTATTTAAATAGGAATCAGTCCACAGTTATTTGCCTCTCATTGGCCACAGTAAGGAAGTAAAACCGCATAAAAGAGTGCCTGTGTTTATTGCCAGATATAAATGAATTATTGAATGTAAGAGATAGAAAAAAGAAATTTTCTGACAGAGTTCATTTCAAGTAGCTGGTAAATGTTCGTATAGGTGACACGTGATACCGTGAAAATGTTTTAACTAATATAAAGTGTTCTTTAGATCTGGTCCTGAAGGTTATATTTTGTTCAAACACTGAAGAATATTACTTAAAGTTTATGGTAAATATATCGTCTAAAAAGAATAAATTTAACTGTGTTTGTCATTCCTGTGTTTCTCATACAACATTCTTTACTCGCACTTGTATCATAGGCACTTGTTTTCGGGATTATAAAACCCTTTTGAGAGGTTTATAGAACTCAAATTCAATTGAATGTAACGATTTCTTTAACGTAGAAGTCTTATCAAACCGTCATTTTTCCTATGTTACTAAAATGGAAAAATGATGCTTTTTGGAAAGGAGACATCTACGTCAAAATATCGTTACATTCAATTGAATTTGAGTTCTACAATTAAAATCTCTCAAAAGGGTTTTTATCCCGAAACCAAGTGCCTATGACTTGTATATGAAAGACGACATACGATATGTGCTTATCATAACCAAATGATATCATTCGTTCGATTATCAAGTCTGAAATGTTCTATCATGTAATGGTTAGCACTCTGGACTTTGAATTCAGCGATCCGAGTTCAATTCTCGCTAGAATTTAACCCATTTTGTTAACAGTTGTGATTTTTTTTATCTTTTCATTTCATACTCAATTATTGGCCCAAAAAAAGATTTCTTTAGTTTAATATGATCATATAAAGCAACATTTCAATTCACGATCCGTGTAAATATATATCTTAAAAGATATACATATATATAGGCCTACAATTATATTTTTTCAGCTTCTATAGCTGGACTTCTGTTAATTACCATATTTATAAATTTAGTGTTGTCCTATAGAAGGAATTTTGGTAAGCTAAACTTGTAGTGAAATGTATTTGAACTATAATTTCTCTTAAAGAGCACGATTTTAGGCTTTGAAGTTAATATATTTACCTTGTCATTCGTCAGATAATTGAATGTATATGTGGATTTCAGTGTAGTTATAGGTTAATAAAATTATATGTTTAAGTTCTTTTTCAGTAAAACGATAGATACATAGAGCGATTGCATGTCAATGAAGTAAAAGCTTCTCATTTACATATAATATAAATAAATAGAGGGTATAATGAATGAGTTAGGCTTCATTAATAAATTTATTAGATAAGATAAATTAAATTATTCGATTATTGTTCGAGCCTCTGGTGATCATGATATTTGTTATTCAACAAGTTTAATTAATTTAGTTTTGAATATAATATAACATTTTATCACATACCCGAAATAAAACCCTAAACCTCCAAAAATTGTATATTTATACAGTGGTACGATTCCGCCATAGTACGTATCCTCTCCAAATTCTTACATTAGTTACTCCCCTTTCATAAATGATCGTCATTGACCCTGCACAAAACTACGTTTTACAGTTTTCTCTCATAGAAATATCAGGTAAAAGAATGATTAATATTTATAGATTTAGTTTCATTTGATAGAAGTTTTTGAATAAAAAACATATTATTATTTTTCTGTGAGAGTACAAACATTTATTATTCACGAATTAGAAAATCTAGCTAAATGCCGTTTTCCGGTACATAGGGGCGTATAATAACGAACTAAATAACGAAATATGTTATTAAGAAATAAGTTCTTTGTAAGAAAATAATTAAAATATCATTATATGAATAATTTTATGCAAAAAAATGTAGATATACAGACGTTTGTTTACTTTGAACAAAAGATAAATTCATTATGTTTTGTGACTTATATTCTTGGTGGTATTGTATTGTAAACATGTTTGTCTTTTTCATCTCTTAAAGTTTTAGTTCATTTTAACTGTATTTGTATGGCAAGTAGATCACATTTACACTCCTATCCCTCCTAATTTCTGTTTGTATAACTAACTATACAATAATGAATTCGTATAGGCTAGATTTGTTTGTATATTTGCTTGATGATAAATATTACTACTGTAATGATTATTGTGCTAGCATATGGATAGACAAAACTCTTGATTGAATATGTTGATGAGACAATTGTCTTATTTGTATTTGATAAAAGAATGTGTTTATATGAATGTGTTAAATATGATCTCAGTTTATTGAATTATATTATATCAAGGTAATAAAATATCTTTTGTTTTCTTATAAATGAAAACTTAAAAATTTACGCAGACAAATTGCTACATTTATTGTAGCAGATTACACTTTAAAGATTGTACTTGTTTCATAACGTGTAATTCCCAAGAGCTTAATCTGTTACGTACCTTAAAATGGTGTTTAGCTCTAGATTTTTAATAAGGACATTTTTTTTTAGCTTGACGTTCAGAATTATCAATATCTCCCCTTTGAACCTAGAATTTTCTTTAAACAATATTATTTTCAGCTTTACTATTTGATAGTCATCTATTTGTAAGGAATGTTGTGTGTAATGTTATTTGAAGATAAATTCAGTTGAAAAGTAGCGAACAAATGCGGTTAAGACATTTTTCTGGCATATCGGAGAGTGGTTTCTACTGTTTGAACAGGTGCTTCACCACAAATATCTTACAATGAGTTTGGTACAGACTTGGATATTTTGCAATTTGCCCCATGGTAACTGTTTAAAGTGTGAAACAAGCTATGTCGAGTTCCCACCATGAAATACCCGAAAGCCAAATACTCCCATCAGTAGCAACCTTTTTCTTGAATGTCATATTCATATAAATCATGTTTCAGATAGGAACATTTCTATTTCGATATTTCTCTCAGAGCAGCTTCTGATCTAAAAATGCAATATATTTAATAATTTAGTGAGTCATACTGGCGTCATCTTTAAGTGAGTATATAAAATGAGATTGTTTAGTAGACGTTTGAAAATCCTGTCTAATTTGCAAGCAGGAAATAATTTTTTCTGTTCAACTTAAATGCCTAACCGTTTTGCCGCATAATATAATACTCTTACACACCTGCAACTTGTGGAGACTTAATGCAACTTGTGAAGACTTAACTATTTGACCTGAGGGAAACTGTTTTGCTATTTTATTGTACTCAGAGAGCCGGATATTCCTGTCATTTATGAAAACAATGCATATTTCATTTTCCTGGATAAAATGTTATACTAACTATGGAAAGAAATGACATTTTCCTTATAACTACGCATGAAATTTGACAATATTTCTAATAGCAGAAATGAGGTCATCTCAAGAATGCAGATCATTCATAAAATGTACGGCAATGACATCATTCACATGCATGCAACAGATCTGTTTAAAAGAAGAAGTCTCATATGGAGCAAACATTCATCTTACATGTATATAAGAAATCTTGCGTTCTTTTTGAGGACGAAATTGTGGCTTTTTTTTATGAAGGAGTTGCGTGCTTATGATGATGTCACTCAGCCATGTTGATCGAATACATCAGCAAAACGTTTAAAATAAGCGTGTTAGTTAATCATTTCATTATTATTACGACTTAAGTTTACAATTCGACGTGCATTTACTTAGTAAGATGAATATCCCCATATCAGTACATTGTACAATGAAAGAAAACTTTTAAGACCCTGGTGATGGTAGAAATCAAAAATATTAAAATCTGTAAATATATAATGTGAATTCTACAAGTAAAATATGTGATTTCTTTAATTCCAGGTCTTACTTCCAGCAAGGAAATAAAAGCTGACAAGTTGGACATTAAAGACACATATAGTGAGAAGTTATCATATGAATTGCAAAATAGTGGTGTTCAATGAAATAAGATGCTCAGCCTATGTAAAATGACACATAGATGTTATATTTGTGATAAAACATTTACTCGACAAAGTTCTCTGAAAACACATATGACAATTCATACTGGTGACAAGAATTATGAATGTAAATTTTGTGATAAAACATTTTCTCAACTAAGTTCTCTGAATAAACATATGACATTACATACTGGCGAAAAGAATCATGTATGTGACATATGTGATAAAGCATTTTCTCAACGAAGTAATTTGATCACACATATGACAGTACACACTGGCGACAAGAATCATAGATGTGACATATGTGATAAAGCATTTTCACGACGAAGTCATTTGAAAACGCATATAACAATACACACTGGGGAAAAGAAATATAGGTGTGAAATGTGTGATAAAGCATTTTCTCATCAAAGTCCTTTGGTCAGGCATATGACAATACACAATGGGGAGAAAAATTATAAATGTAAAATATGTGATAGATCATTTTCTCAACGAAGTTCTCTGAATAAACATATGACATTACATACTGGCGAAAAGAATCATGTATGTGACATATGTGATAAAGCATTTTCTCAACGAAGTAATTTGACCACACATATGTCAGTACACACTGGCGACAAGAATCATAGATGTGACATATGTGATAAAGAATTTTCTCAACGAATTCATTTGATCAGGCATATGACAATACATACTAGCGAGAAAATTCATGAGTGTGGGATATGTAATAAAGCATTCTCTTTACAATGTACTCTTATTAGACATATCAAAATACACTCTGGCGAGAAGAATCATACGTGTGAAGTGTGTAATAAAGTATTTTCTCGCAAAAGTTCGTTGAAGGCACATGTGATCGCGCACACTGGTGAACAGAAATAAATAAGGAATCTGTGTTGATGTATTTTCTCATTTTTATGTTTCACATACATGGCAAAACATGTTATGGAAAAGAAACACAAATGTGGAAAGTGTTATCTATACAACATATATATCGTTATCACACATATGGCAAGAGAAAACATAATTATGATTTGTGTGAATTACTTTTTCTAAGATAAGACTTTACACACTAGTGATAATGAATAAGTGTTAATTGTGTGACCATGAGTAAAGAAGTAGTTTAATCATACACTGTACAGAAAATACCTTGATCTTTTATTTGCAATAATTATTTAACTAATATTTGACCTTCAACTAATAAAATTATAAATGTGGACAATGCAAAAAAAGCCGATCAATTACATCTAAATTCTTTCTACTTTCTAACAACATTTGACAATGCCAATGACTCAAGTGTCTATTTATTTTTTGCAAGCTTATGTCGGTGTAACAAAGTATTTAAAGTAGGTTAATAATGTATTGCAATACATAGAGGATATTTGTTTAGTTCAGTGTAAGGTCGAAATATATTTCACCCAGTGAGCACCAAAAGGTATATTTCACAGTGGCGCAGCCACGAGTGAAATATGAACTTTTGGTGTTCACAAGATGAAATATATTTAGATCTTACACTAAACTAAACAAATTTTCTTTTTATTATATGCAAAGAAACGTTTTAAAAAGACATTAAACCTAATACTGGATGAAAAGCGCGCCTAATAATAAAACGTGACGTCTTTTACGACGTCATGTCATTAAGTTGGTTCCCAGTACTGTGCACGCAGGTATTTCACTGAAACAACGTAAGGGGGCGGGCTTAAATTCAAAAACAGTGAAATTATCAAATTGACAATTTCACTGTTTAAAAGGGTGAGGTAAGAAAACCTGTTAGATTTTGTCAAATAAAATAGGGACATCAAATATCATTTGACAATAATCATCTTGATACAAATCTAAACATTTGTAAAAAAAAAAATATACAGAAATTTAACCATGCCTTTTTCAATTTATAATTATTTTAAGTTGTTCCCCTATCCACCAATTTCAAACAATTTACAGTAAAAAATATGCATAATACTTTTTTCTCAATTTCAGATTTTATCAGAGACGTTAAAATACATGTATTTATATGTCTCTGATTTTATATAAAAATAAGAGAAAACATCAAACATGAAGAAGAAGAAAAAAAAAACATTAGAAAAAATGCTTCCACGCCGTATAGAAACTCTGTGTCCTCACTGAAAATGAATATAGAATGAAGACTTTGCATTAGGCACCCAATAACCGAATGACTGTTTGTAGTTTCATGTTAAATGTCTGTGTAGATCAAATACAGAGGAATATGATTTGATTTTGTTTTGATTTTAAGCTATTGAGTGACAGATGAATTAGTTAAGAAATTTAGAAGACAAAATGTAAAATTAGCTTACATGAGCTTCAATTTATGATCTGTACGATTGTCAAATATGTGATAAACAGATATAATAAACATCATGTGTTTTTTTAGATGATAAAGGTCTCCTTTACACCATGTACAGGTTCTATCATGTAATGGTTAGCACTCTGGACTTTGAATTCAGTGATCCGAGTTCAGATCTCGGTAGAACCCATTTTTTTTAATAATTGTGATTTTTTTTTATCTTTTCATTTTTAGCTCGACTATTCGATAAGAATAAGTGGAGCTATTGCAGTCACCCGAGCGTCGGCGTCGGCGTAACCACTTATGTTAAAGTTTTTGTAATAGTTCAAATATTTTCAAAGTCCATTGACATATGGCTTTGAAACTTTGCACACTTGTTCAACATCATGACCCCAACCTGTAAACAGGAGGAGGTAACTCTATCAAGCATTTTGACAGAATTATGCCCCTTTTTCGACTTAGAATTTACGTTAAAGTTTTTGTAATAGTTCAAATATTTTCAAAGTCCATTGACATATGGCTTTGAAACTTAACACACTTGTTCACCATCATGACCCCAACCTGGAAACAGGAGGAGGTAACTCTATCAAGCATTTTGACAGAATTATGCCCCTTTTTCGACTTAGAATTTACGTTAAAGTTTTTGTAATAGTTCAAATATTTTCAAAGTCCATTGACATATGGCTTTGAAACTTTGCACACTTGTTCACCATCATGACCCCAACCTGTAAACAGGAGGAGGTAACTCTATCATGCATTTTGACAGAATTATGCCCCTTTTTCGACTTAGAATTTACGTTAAAGTTTTTGTAATAGTTCAAATATTTTCAAAGTCCATTGACATATGGCTTTGAAACTTTGCACACTTGTTCACCATCATGACCCCAACCTGTAAACAGGAGGAGGTAACTCTTTCAAACATTTTATTTACTATCAAGCACTAAGAATAGTCGAGCGTTGCTGTCCTACCGACAGCTCTTGTTATACTCAATTATTGGCCAAAAAAGACTTCTTAAGTTTAATATGATCATATAAAGCAACATGTCGGCTTCTTCATTCATTGCACGATCCGTGTAAATATATATCTTAAAAGATATATATGTATATACAATTATATTTTTCCAGCTTCTATAGCTGGACTCCTGTTAATTACATTGTACCATATTTATAAATTTAGTGTTGTTCTATAGAAGGAATTTTGGTAAGCTAAACTTGTAGTGAAATGTATTTGAACTATAATTTCTCTTAAAGAACTCGATTTTAGGCTTTGAAGTTAATATATTTACCTTGTCATTGGTCAGGTAATTGAATGTATATGTGGATTAAGTGTAGTTATAGGTTAATAAAATTATATGTTTAAGTTCTTTTTCCGTAAAAAGATGGAGACATAGAACGAATTGCATGTCAATGAAGTAAAAGCTTGTCATTTACATATAATATGAATAAATAGAGGGTATTATGAATGAGTTAAGCTTCAATACTAAATTTATTAGATAAGATAAATAAAATTATTCGATTATTGTTCGAGCCTCTGGTGATCATGAAATTTGTTATTCAACAAGTTTAATGAATTTAGTTTTGAACATATACGAAACTAATATAATACATTTTATCACATTACGAAATAAAACGCAAAACCTTCACAAATTGTACATCTATACAGTGGTACGATTTCGCCATAGTACGTATCCTCTCCAAATTCTTACATAGTTACTCCCCTTTGATAAATGATCGTCATTGACCCTGCACAAAAATTTCCTTGAACTGTTTTCTCTCGTGGAAATACCAGGTAAAAGAAGGATTAATATTTATAGATTTAGTTTCATTTGATATAAACCTTTGAATAAAAAAACATATTATTGTTTATCTGTGAGAATTCAAACATTTATTATTCACGAATTCGAAAACCTTGCTAAACGCCGTTTTCCGTTTTTTTCTGTACATAGCTCTGGGGCGTATAATAACTAAGTTATTAAGAATTAAGTTCTTTGTAAGAAAATAATTAGAATATCATTGTATGAATAATTTCATGCAAAAATGTAGATATACAGAAGTTTGTTTATTTTGAACAAAAGATAAATTCATTATGTTTTGTGACTTATATTCTTGGTGGTACTGTAAACATGTACGCTTTTTCATCTCTTAAAGTTTTAGTTCATTATAACTGTATTAGTATGGCAAGTATATCACATAAACACTCCTATCCCTCCTCATTTGTGTTTGTATAACTAACTGTACAATAATGAATTCGTATAGGCTAGATTACCTTAATGTTTGTATATTTGCTTGATGATGAATATTACTACTGTAATGATTATTGTGCTAGCATATGGATAGACAAAACTCTTGATTGAATTTGTTGATGAGACAATTGTCTTATTTGTATTTGATAAAAGAATGTGTTTATATGAATGTTTATCGAATTATATTATATCAAGGTAAAAAAATCTCTTGTTTTCTTATAAATGAAAAATTAAAATTTACGCAGACAAATTGCTACATTTATTGTAGCAGATTACACTTTAAATATTGTACTTGTTTCATAACGTGTAATTCCCAAGAGCTTAATCTGTAACGTACCTTAAAATGGTGTTTAGCTCTAGATTTTTTAAAAGGTCAATTGTTTTTTAGCTTGACGTTCAGAATTATCAATATCTCCCCTTTGAACCTAGAATTTTCTTTAAACAATATTATTTTCAGCTTGACTTTTTGATAATATAAGTAGATATATGATTATTGATAGTCATCTATTTGTAAGGAATGTTGTGTGTAATGTTATTTGAAGATAAATCCAGTTGAAAAGTAGCGGACAAAATGCGGTTAAGACATTTTTCTGGCATTTCGGAGAGTGGTTTCTACTGTTTAAACAGGTGCTTCACCACAAATATCTTACAATGAGTTTGGTACATACATGGATATTTTGCAATTTGCCCATGGTAACTGTTTAAAGTGTAAACAAGGCTATGTCGAGTTCCCACCATGAACTACCCGAAAGCTGAATACACCCATCTGTAGGAACCTTTTTCTTTAATGTCTCATATAAATCCTGTTTCAGATAAGAACATATCTATTTCGATATTTCTCTCAGAGCAGCTTCTGATCTAAGAATACAATATTCAATAATAAAAGCATCATACTGGCGTCATTTTAAAGTGAGTATATAAAATGAGATTGTTTAGAAGACGTTTAAAAATCCTGTCTAATATGCAAGCAGGAATTTTTTTTGTGCAAGTTAAATGTCTAACCATTTTGCCGCATATAAATATAATACTCCTACACAACTTTTGCAGACTTAATGCAACTTGTGTAGACTTATTTTTTTGAGACTTATTTTTTTGACCTGAGGGAATCTGTTTTGCTATTTAATTGTACAATTTACTCAGAGAGCCAGATATTCCTGTCTGTTATGAGAGACAATGCATATTTCATTTTCCTGGAAAAAATGCTATACTTTCTACTGGATCCTTATAACTACGCATAAAATTAGAAAATATTTCTTATAGCAGAAAGGAGGTCATCTAAAGAATGCAGATCATTCTTAAAATTAAAGTATCATATGGAACAAACATTCATCTTACATGTATATAAGGCCTAAAAAAAAATATGTTTGTTTCGGGTAACCCGACCCTACCTATAAAAATGCGCCGACCCTAACTATTTTTTTCCGTTTCTGAACAAAAAAAAAATATATTCGTTAGCGAATAGAGAGTTTCAAAGGGCGGATAAATGCGAATTGAACGCTTGAGACGCTGTCGTAAAACTCTCAGACGATTTGGATCGGTCATTTTTAGTTATACGTGTTTTGATTGGTTCGTGCTGTATTGCGGTCCAATGAATATCACGCTATTGGAAACAAAAATTCTACATGACGACGATATTTTTAGAAGGTAATTCCTACCGGAAGTATTCTCCGGCTTCCGTTTTACATACATTGACATAGAGCGGAACGGGGTACCAAGCACGTGTTGCGGGGAAAACACTTCCGATTTAGGAATTTCTTATACATGAAGATTTTTTCTTAAAATACAGGCACATAGGACTTAGTGTCACTCGTGGAGGATAAAACCATTTAAAAGTATGTAAAATCCAGTTGTTAGCATGTGTGTTCGACCCGTTTGATCTCTTTGTTGATGTCGTATTTCAGGCTACAATGTATGACGGTCTCATCTTTCGGACCTGGGTGATTTCTGACTTTCTGGCTTTACTGTGGTAAATTTACGTGTAAATAAGGATCTGTTCATAGACAATTTTGATAGAAAATATATATTGCATGGATTCCATGCGAAAATCCGACGATATTACCTGCCGGTGGAAAATTTTGACACCGAGAACGAACATACCCATAATTTTCGTACTCTGATCATGCATACCTGTCGGTGAAATTTCTTTTTTTTTTTTTAGTATATTGATATTTTATTGCATAAATAACAAGGTTTAACACATTTTAGTTCAAATCAATGCCATTATTTTTTTTATTTCTTTTAATATTTAAAAATTTGAAAAGCTGTTTTGATATGTCCTGTGCCACACTTCAAAATGAATGAGACCCTAGCTGGTCCCACTGAAAATCAAGACTTAGTGCACTTGAGTATAAAGTATAGCCACAGGTCATATGTACATAGCTATTCTGGAGATCTGCAAAGCTTTTCCAGTATATTTTTCATCCTCTTTTGCATACTGAAACAAATTTTTACCAGACTTGGAGTCTGACTCTACTGTGCATCATTTTGTTTCATACCGTCACAAATGTATCCCATTTTCCATGTGTTATTGAGACCTAGTCTTTGTTTTTTTTTCAGATGGGCCATGGACACTATGAGACGACACTTTGAATGACATCTACAAAATGCCAATTCATCAAAAAGCTTGGCTATTGTCTTTGATATGTTGATATACATGTATCTGATAGAAATAAATAGTATTTGATTGACAAGGGTGTCATTTTACAAATAGAAGTGTTTGCACTTTTTATGTGAACCAGTGTATCAAAAGTGCAATTCAGAATTATAGATTTTGTTAAATTGTACCACAGTGTCAAAATATAAACTTTGTAATACTGTAAGAGCTTCAAGATTGTTAATTCAATGAAATGTGCAGTATTTAATGCATGAATATCAAATAGTGAAAAACAGAATAAGTCTAGATTTTTTAACTGAAACTTTGAAAGCCAGATCACAGCATGTGATTTTAGGTCTTTTATTATGCTTAACTCCTACCATGCAACCAATGTAGACTCAGATCAGCAGAATTGCAACCATGCAAGCTGATGAGAATCTGCAATGTTTGCTGTTCAGGTTAGTGTCAAACTTTAAAGTAGTGCCTGTAGCAAACAAACATCAAAATTAACACATGTTTGGGTATATTGTCTTTATTCAATATTGAAATAACATTAAATGGCATTAAAGCTATGCAGATTTTAATCAGAATTATTGTTTATATGATAAAATATGATAATACAAAGTCAAGCAATGTCAGTAGTGTAGGAAAGACTGCCATGTGCAAGAAAACACTCTGAACTTACGACAGATTTTGAAAAAAAAAATAAAAAAAATAAAAAAAAATCCCTACCTACCCTACCTAGCAATTTTGGGAAGGTTACCCTAAACAAACAATTTTTTTTTTAGGCCTAAGTTAACTTTTGTTCTTTCCGAGGACGAAATTGTTGCGTCTTTTATGAAGGAGTTGCGTGCTTTTGATGATGTCACTCAGCCATATTGATAGAATATATCAGCAAAAGTTTTAAAATAAGCGTGTTAGTTTATTATTTCATAAATATATCGATTTAATTGACAGCTCCACATGCATTTACTTAGTAAGATATCATGAATATCCCCATATCAGTACATTGTACAGTGCAAGCAAAACTTAAGACTCTGGGTGTCTGTAGTAAAATGTGAACATTTTTAAATATAAGGTGAATCATACGAGTGAAATATGTGATGATTTCTTTAATTCCAGGTCTTACTTCCAGCAATGAAATAAAAGCTGACAAGATGGACAGTAATCTAAACATAGACACACTTTGTGAGAAATTATCACCTGAATTGCAAAAAAGTGGTGTTCAAAGAAATAAGATACTCAGTCCGTGTAAAATGACACATAGATGTTATATTTGTGATAAAACATTTACTCAACGAAGATCTCTGAAAACACATATGACAATACATACTGGCGAGAAGAATCATGTATGTAAAATTTGTGATAAAGCATTTTCTGATCGAAGTTCTTTGAATAGACATATGAGAATACATACTGGCGAGAAGAATCATGTATGTGACATATGTGATAAAGCATTTTCTCAACGAAGTAATTTGATCAATCATATGACAATACATACTGGCGAGAAGAATCATGTATGTGGCATATGTGATAAAGCATTTTCTTATCGAAGTCATTTGATGACTCATATGACAATACATACTGGCGAGAAGAATCATGTATGTAAAATTTGTGCCAAAACCTTTTCTCACCGAATTTCTCTGAATATCCATATGACAAAACACACTGGTGAGAAGAATCATAAATGTGAAATGTGTGATAAAAAATGTTCTCAACGAAGTAATCTAAATACACATATGACAATACATACTGGCAAGAAAAATCATGTATGTAACATATGTGATAAAGCATTTTCTCAACAAAAGTCTCTCAATACACATATGACAATACACACTGGCAACAAGAATCATCGATGTAAACTATGTGATAAAACATTTTGTCACCGAAGTTCTCTCAATACACATATGACATTACACACTGGAGAGAAGAATCATATATGTAAAATATGTGATAAAGCATTTTCTCAACAAATTTATTTGATCAAGCATATGACAATACATACTGGCGAGAAGAATCATATTTGTAAAATATGTGATAAAGCATTTTCTCAACAAAGTAATTTGATAAGGCATATGACAATACACACTGGCGACAAGAATCATAGATGTGACTTGTGTGATAAAGCATTTTCTCACCGAAGTAGTTTGATCAACCATATGACAATACACACAGGCGAGAAGAATCATATATGTAAAATATGTGATAAAGCATTTTCCCGTCAAAGTCTTTTGGTCAGGCATATGGCAATACACAATGGGGAGGAAAAATTATGAATGTAAAATGTGTGATAGATCATTTTCTCAAGGAAGTTGTCTGAATAAACATATGACATTACATACTGGCGAAAAGAATCATGTATGTGACATATGTGATAAAGCATTTTCACAACGAAGTAGTTTGATCAACCATATAACAATACACACTGGCGAAAAGAAATATAGGTGTGACATATGTGATAAAGCATTTTCACAACGAAGTCATTTGAAAACGCATATAACAATACACACTGGCGAAAAGAAATATAGGTGTAAAATGTGTGATAAAGCATTTTCTCAGCAAAGTCCTTTGGTCAGGCATATGACAATACACAATGGGGAGAAAAATTAAGAATGTAAAATATGTGATAGATCATTTTCTCAACGAAGTTCTCTGAATAAACATATGACATTACATACTGGCGAAAAGAAATATAGGTGTGAAATGTGTGATAAAGCATTTTCTCAGCAAAGTCCTTTGGTCAGGCATATGACAATACACAATGGGGAGGAAAAATTATGAATGTAAAATATGTGATAGATCATTTTCTCAACGAAGTTCTCTGAATAAACATATGACATTACATACTGGCGAAAAGAATCATTTATTTGACATCTGAAAAAGCAATAATTATTTAACTAATATTTGACTATCAACTAATAAAATTATGAATGTGGACAATGGCAAAAAGCCGATCAATTACATCTAAATTCTTTTTACTTTCTAACAACATTTGACAATGCCAACGACTCTATATATTTTTTGCAAGCTTATGTCGGTGTAACAAAGTATTTAAAGTAGGTTAATAATTACAATACATAGAGGATATTTGTTTAGTTCAGTGTAAGATCGAAATATATTTCACCCAGTGAGCACCAAAATGTATATTTCACAGTGGCACAGCCACGAGTGAAATATGAACTTTTGGTGTTCACAAGGTGAAATATATTTAGATCTTACACTAAACTTAACAAATTTTCTTTTTATTATATGCAAAGAAACGTTAAAAAAAAGACATTAAACCTAATACTGGATGAAAAGCGCGCCTAATAATAATATAACGTGACGTCATTTACGACGTCATGTCATTAAGTTGGTTCCCAGTACTGTGCACGCAGGTATTTCACTGAAACAACGTATTTAGGGGCTTAAATTCATAACAGTGAAATTATCAAATTGATAATTTCACTGTTTAAAACAGTGAAGTTATCAGTTTTATATCACTGAAATTTTCTATAAACCACCGAAAAGCATGTAATAATTTTTTAATTTCTGTAAAATTGCTGTTTAAAGTGTATTTTGTATGTATATTGATCGATGTATTATACTGCATGTATTTTTATGTACAATATTCAAGTCAGAATAAAATCATTTTCTATACTGTAACTTTATTTACTCTTATAATGGAAAGATTAGAAATATTTATCACAACATAAAGCCACTAATCTACACTACACTACAACTACAGTAATCAGAAAGTATGTTACAGACATATGGCTAAAGGTTCACATTCCAACACTCATAGCTGCTAAAAATAAAGGCCGGAAATCACTAAGGTTTTATACAATATGCATTGTCCTACATTTGTATTACCGGTACATGACGTTAACATTTCACAAATTACATCAAGTGTTTGGGAAAAAGTATGATATTTATCATTTAGCTATTCAATGTTGAAATATATATTTTTACGTGTGTATAGCTGGAGAAACCATATTGGTTGAGCCTTACTAATATGTTAGTGTGTGTATCTTATAAGTAAGCCATGAAATCTGAAATATATTGTTTAACGAGAATTTAAATTATGCTTGTATTTTTCTATTATGATAGAAAATATACGTCTAAATAATACATTTATAAGTACCCGGTAGAAACCGGCAACTTTATTAGTCCCCTACCGGTTTAACCGGAGGGGACTTTAGGTTTACCCTCCGTCTGTCTGTCCGTCTGTCTGTCTGTCTGTCTGTCCGTCTGTCTGTCAGTCTGTCAGTCCGTCCACAAAACTGGATCCCGCGATAACGCAAAAAGTACTGAAAATATTTTTATGAAACTTGATATATGGATAGATGGCAGTATGGAGATTATGCACGTCTTTTTTTTTTCTTCCTATGTTGAAAATTCTGGTTGCTATGGCAACAAATAGTCTGAAAATATGGCAAATTTAACACATAAACTGGATCCAGTGATAACTCAAAAAGTACTGAAAATATTTTTATGAAACTTGAAATATGGGTAGATGGCAGTCTGGAGATTATGCACACCTTTTTCTTTTCTTCTTATGTTGAAAATTCTGGTTGCTATGGCAACAAATAGCCTGAATTTCAAGATTTCTGATTTAAATTTTTCAGCTTTTTCACTATATGTTCTTTATTTCTTAAGGTGTTTACTTCAAACTTTAAATATAAGTTTCTGGTCATCAACCACATCATATGTGACAAGGTTTATAACTCTAGCACAAAAAATATCAGTATTACCTCCCTTGAACTTAGATTTTTTAGGGGAAAAAATGTTGTCTTTTTTAAATAACTTCTTTATTTCCTAATGTATCTACTTCAAACTTCATATATATGTTTCATATTATCACTCGACATTTTTGAGAAGGTTAAATACTCTAGCAAGACTATTTCCAGAATTATGTCCCCCTTGAACTTAGATTTTTTTCGAGAAACTGGTATTTTCACTCCAACTTCTTCATTCCTTATAGGATTTAGTTTAAAATCCCACATCGTAATAATATGACAAGGTTGTATAAACATAATTTCCTTACTAAGCATGGAAACTTAACACATTACTGTGATATAGACAAACTTATTTTATTATGTTTTGTGGTCGATTTTTTCAAATACAGACTTCATCCTCAAATTCATTATAAATGGCAATACACAGGAGTGTATGACAATTAAAGAACTTTTTGAGGGACCGGTAGGGGACTACTGTATTGCCCGCAATACTATCAAATGCTTGTTTGTAACAGTTTAATAGATTCAAGATTTTCAAGGTTCAAGATCTTATGGACCTATGGATAAGTCATTGAATTTAGGGATACTTTTACTTTTTTCAAAGTGTCAAGCGTTGATTTTATGATAAATAAATCATGCATGATATTTGAAATGACACTTTTATATTATCTGGTTGTTTATATCTTATGAGACCTATTCTATTTGATTATTTTATTTATATAATGTTCTTTTGTAAGAATCACGTGACTACACGTTGTTATTGTTATAAAATCTGTTAATAGTAACAAATGGCTGATAAGACAGACATACAGGTAACTTGTGAATGAATGGCACAAGGTATAGAAGCTGATAAAGTGCATATCAAAGTAAATTTGTATGAATATTACCAAAACCTTTTCCTTTTTTCTTGGTAAAGAAACGTTTGATAGTTTAGTTTAGGTTGAACATCACAAAATAAATTTATGCTTAAGAGGCACGTTATTGAAACATATATATAGTGGTAATCTATATTCCGTCGGTTCCCAAAACGGTATAACGTGGGGGGTCGTATTGGATACATAGAATAACTAATAATCAATCTTTGTGTTGATAGTTTATCGCACTAAAAGGCAATTAAACATGAATTCTAACACTCCTCGTGATTTTGTCACTATAGACAAAGAAGAAAAAACCGGTGTTAAACTGCCACGAGATTGCATAACTTAAGAGTGTTTAAGATTTGGTCATGTCAACAAAGTACTGTAGTAATATTTTGTTTAACAGTTATAGTTGATGGTAAATATATCGTCTTAGAAGAATAAACTGTATTTGTCATTCCTATGTCTCTTATAAAACATGCTTTATCATTGGCTCTTGGTTTCGGGGTAAAAAAAAAACCTTTGAGAGGTTTGTAGAACTCAAATTCAATTGAATGTACTGATTTTTTTAACGTAGAAGTCTTTTAAAATCGTCGTTTTTTTTCAATGTTACTAAAAATGGAAAAATGACAAATTTAAAAAAGTATTTACGTTAAAATATCGTTACATCAGAATCTTTCAAATAGAAAGACCTTGGTTAAATTCAATTAAATTTGAGTTCTACAACCTCTCAAAAGGGTTTTGATCACGAAACCAAATGTCTATGACTTGTATATGAAAGACGGCATACGATGTGTGATAAACATAACCAAATAATATCATTCACCCGATCGTCAAGTCTGTCAACCATCTTACAATCACATTATAATTAATTTATGATCTTTCCGATTGTTAAATTTGACAACATACCTGATATACTGATAATAAACAACATATGTGTTTATAGATAATATACATGTATGTCTTTGTTCATATACAGGTTCTATGATGTAATGGTTAGCACTCTGGACTTTGAATCCAGCGATCTAAGTTCAAATATCGGTAGAACTTACTTTTTACACAATGGTGACTTTTTTATTTGTTCATTTCATACACAAATATTGGCCATTAAGGATTTCTAAAGTTTAATATGATCATATAAGATAGCATGTTGGCTTTGTCTTTCATTGCACTATCAGTGTAAATATATATCTGAAAAAGTATACTACAAGAATTTTTCCATTAACATTGATGAAAATAATTTAGCGAAAATCTTCTCGCCGAAACAGTCTGACATGTATATATATTCCACTACTCGACAGATTTATTTGTGTAATACGCTCTGAGGTATTCGGTAATCGACATCGCTAAAAATAGCACTGTCATTGATTAAAATTATATTCATCCGCGTGCATTTATTTAAAAATTCAATAAAACAACGCTACTTTTAAACTTTGAATGCGTTGTGCTTTGTTTGATACTTGTAACAAAATAAAAATATTTCTTTCTTTTACATCACTAGTTTTAAGCTGTTTTGAGAACTACTTGTTGTTAGGTTTGTCGTGAAGCACCTGTGTCAGAGATTAAATGTCAGCATTGTATTTACTGATCTGCAATCAAAAAATACAAAAAATATGCTTTTAGATTTTTCTTGTTTGTTTGTTTCATTTTACGCCTGTTCCCTACAGTAATTCAGTCATATAGACGGGTAGTTTCCTAACCATCGTTCCTGGAGAATTACACCAGTACTAGACTACCTTACCTCCCTCCGCGCTAAACTACCAAAGCATCTCTCGGGGATCGAACCCACGCCAGAGAGGTGACTGGATTAGAAGTCATCGCCTCTAACCCCTCGACCACGGGTCTCGAACACGGAGACAACTTCGTAAAAGATCGTTACATTCAATTGAAGTTGAGTTCTACAAAGCTCTCAAAAGGGTGTTTATCCCGAAACCATTGCAAGTGCCTATATTATATGAGTTGTATATAATGACTTGTATATGAAAGGCGACATACGATATTTGCTAATCATAACCAAATAATATCATTCGTTCGATTGTCAAGTCTGTCAACATTATGAGTGAGATATGAGCTTCATTTTATGATATGTTCGATCGTCAAATTTGTGATAAAAAGATATAATAAACATCATGTGTGTTTATAGGTGATATAGGTCTCCTTTACACCATGTACAGGTTCTATCGTGTAATGGTTAGCACTCTGGACTTTGAAATCAGCGATCCGAGTTCAAATCTCGGTAGAACCCATTTTTGTTAACAATTGTGATTTTTTTTATCTTTTTATTTCATACTCAATTATTGGCCAAAAAAAGATTTCTAAAGTTTAATATGATCATGTAAAGCAACATGTCGGGTTTTGTAAGCTAAACTTGAAGTGAAATGTATTGGAACTATAATTTGTCTTAAAGAGCTCGCTTTTTGGCTTTGAAATTAATATATTTACCTTGTCATTGGTCAGGTAATTGAATGAATATTAGGATAAAGTGTAGTTAATAAAATTATATGTATAAGTTCTTTTTCAGTAAAAAGATAGACATAGAGTGAATTGCATGTCAATGAAGTTAAAGCTTCTTATTTACTTATAATATGAATAAATAGAGGGTATAATGAATGAGTTAAGCTTCATTACTAAATTTATTAGATAAGATAAATAAAATTATACGATTATTGTTCGAGCCTCTGGTGGTCATGATAATTGTTATTCAACAAGTTTAATTAATTTAGTTTTGAATATAATATAACATTTTATCACATTACGAATTAAAACCCTAAACCTCCAAAAATTGTACATTTATACAGTGGTACGATTCCGCCATAGTACGCATCCTCTCCAAATTCTTACATAGTTACTCCCCTTTGATAAATGATCGTCCTCTCCAAATTCTTACATAGTTACTCCCCTTTCATCGTCATTGACTCTGCGCAAAAAGTTCGTTTAACAGTGATATCTCATAGAAATACCAGGTAAAAGAAGGATTAATATTTATAGATTTAGTTTCATTTGATAGAAGCCTTTGAATAAAAAACATATTATTATTTTTCTGTGAGAGTACAAACTTTTATTATTCACGTTTTCCGGTACTTTCTGTACAGTACATAGTTAACGAACTAAGTTATTATAAGAAATAAGTTCTTTGTAAGAAAATAATTAAAATATCATTGTATGAATAATTCCATGCAAAAAATGTAGATATACAGAAGTTTGTTTATTTTGAACTAAACATAAATTAATTATCTTTTGTGACTTATATTCTTGGTGGTACTGTAAACATTTTTGTCTTCTTCATCTCTAAAAGTTTAAGTTCATTATAACTGTTTTTGTATGGTAGATCACAATTACACTCTTATCCCTCCTCATTTGTGTTTGTATAACTAACTGTACAATAATGAATTCGTATAGGCTAGATTACCTTAATGTTTGTACATTTGCTTGATGATGAATATTACTTCTGTAATGATTATTTTGCTAGACAAAACTCTGATTGAATGTGTTGATGGGGCAATTGTCTTATTTGTATTTGACAAAAGATTGTGTTTATATGAATATGATATGATCTCAGTTTATCGAATTATATTATATCAAGGAAAAAAAATATCTTTTGTTTTCTTATAAATGAAAAATAAAAAATTTACGCAGAAAAATCGCTTTATTTATTATAGCAGATTACACTTTAAAGAGTGTAGTTTTGTTTCATAACGTGTAATTCCCAAGAGCTCAATCTGTATTGTACCACAAAATGGTGTTTAGCTAGATTTTTTAAAAAGGTCATTAGTTTTTAGCTTGACTTATAACTGTAGAAACAATACGTTTAGAATTATCAATATCATCCCTTTGAACCTAGAATTTTCTTTAAACAATATTATTTTCAGCTTGACTATTTGATAATATAAGTAGATATATGATAGTCATCCATTTGTAAGGAATGTTGTGTGTAATGTTATTTGAAGATAAATCTAGTTGAAAAGTAGGGAACAAAATTCGGTTAAGACATTTTTCTGGCATATCGGAGAGGGGTTTCTACTGTTTAAACAGGTGCTACTCCACAAATATCTTACAATGAGTTTGCTACAGACTTGGATATTTTGCAATTTGCCCCATGGTAACTGTTTTAAGTGTAATCAAGGCTATGTCGAGTTCCCACCATGAACTACCTGAAAGCTGAATACACCCATCTGTAGCAACCTTTTTCTTTAAGTCTCATATAAATCCTGTTTCAGATAAGAACATTTCTATTTCGATATTTCTCTCAGAGCAGCTTCTGATCTAAGAATGCAATATTCAATAATAAAAGCATCATACTGGCGTCAATTAAAGTGAGTATATAAAATGAGATTGTTTAGTAGACGTTTAAAAATCCTGTCTAATATGCAAGCAGGAATTTCTTTTTGTTCAACTTAAATGCCTAACCATTTTGCCGCATAATATAATACTCTTACACACCTGCAGCTCGTGCAGACGCAATGCAACTTGTGTAGACTTAACTATTTTGTACCTGAGGGAAACTGTTTTGCTATTTAATTGTACTCAGAGAGCAGGATATTCCTGTCATTTATGAGAGACAATGCATATTTCATTTTCCTGGATAAAATGTTATACTTACCATGGAAATAAACGACATTTTCATTATAACTATGCATGGAATTTGAAAATATTTCTATTAGCAAATATGAGGTCATCTCAAGAATGCAGTTGATTCTTAAAATGAACGGCAATGACATCATTTACAAGCATGCAACAGATCTGTTTCAAGGAAAAAGTCTCATATGGAACAAACATTCATCTTACATGTATGTAAAATAACTTGTGTTATTTTTGAGGACGAAATTGTGGCGTCTTTTATGAAGGAGTTGCGTGCTTATGATGATGGCATTCAGCCATGTTGAACGAATGCATCAGGAAAAAGACTTAAGTTTACAGTTCAACATGCATTTTCATTTGAATGTCCCCATATCAGTACATTATGCAATGAAAGAAATCTTTAAGACCCTTGGTTTCTGTAGAAAATTAAAATGTTAAAATTTGTAAATATAAGGTGAATAATACAAGTGAAATATGTGATGATTTTGTTAATTCAAGGTCTTATTTCCAGCAAGTAAATAAAAGCCGACAAGTTGGACGTTAAAGACGCATTTAGTGAGAAGTTATCATCTGAATTGCAAAAAGGTGATGTTCAAAGAAATAAGATGCTGATCCTATTTTAAATGACACATAGATGTGATGAAAGATTTACGCGACAAAAGTCTCTGAAAACACATATGACAATTCTTACTGTCGAGAAGAATCATGTATGTAAAATTTATGATATAGCATTTTCTCAAGAACTATATCTTATAAAACATATGGTATCACAGACTGGTTAGAAGAATTAAATATGTAACATATTTGATAAAGCATTTTCTCAACAAAATACTTTGATCATGCATATGACAATACATACTGGCGACAAGAATCATAGATGTAAAATATGTAAGAAAACATTTTCTCATCGTGGTAATTTGATCACACATATGACAATACACACTGGCGAGAAGAATCATGTATGTGACATTTCTGATAAAGTATTTTCCTAAGAACGATATCTTATCATACATATGGCATCACATACTGGCGAGAAGAATTATATATGCAAAATATGTGATAAAACATTTTCTCAACGAAGTTCTCTGGATAGACATATGACAATACATACTGGCGAGAAATGTATGTAAAATTTGTGATAAAGCATTTTCTCAAGGACGGTATCTTATCAATCATATGGTAACACATACTGGTGAGAAGAATTATATATGTGACATATGTGATAAAGGATTTTCTCAAAAGAGTACTTTAAACAGGCATATGACAATACATACTGGCGAGAAAAGACATAGATTTAAATGTAAAATATGTAATAAAACATTTTCTTATCCAAGTAATTTGATCACACATATGAAAGTACATACTGGCGAGAAGAATTATAAATGTGAAATATGTGACAAATCATTTTTGCAACGAGGTGCTTTGATCACACATATGACAATACACACTGGCGAGAGAAAACATTTATGTAATTTTTGTGGTAAAGTATTTTCTAACCGCTATTCTCTGAAAACACATATGGCAATACATACTGGTGAAAAGAATTATAAATATAGCATGTGATCAAACATTTTGTCAAATGAGTTCTATGAACAGACATATGAGGCTACACACGGGCGACAAGAATCATAAGTGTGTAATGTGTGATAAAGAATTTTCTGCAAGAGTTTTTTTTATCACACATATGGCAATACACACAGGCAATGTAGAAACATTGATAATTGTCAAGTATGTGGAAAAAAACATTTTCTCACCAATGTGAAATATGACAATACACTCTGGCAATATAAAACATAAGTTGGAAATGTTTCATAACGCGTTTTCTAAAGAAATTCATCTGATCACACAGTCATATGACTATATACTCTGGTGATAAGAAACATAATTGGATGTGTGTAATGAAACGTTTTCCAAGGAATTCATCTTATCACGCATATGACAATACACACTGGCAATAAGAAACATAAGGTATTGAAGGATTTTCTACACGAGTTTCTCTTATCACACAAATGAAAATACACACTGGTTAGTAGAAACATAAGTGTCAGATGTGTGAAAAAACTTTTTTTATAGCAAAGTGTACAAAACCTACTTAGGACAATACACTCTATCGATATGAAACATAGTGAAGTGTGTGATAACGTGTTTTCTAAAGAAATTCATCTGATCACACATGACAATACACACTGGGGATAATTAAGAAGCATTTTATTAAGTTTGAAGGGTGTGATAAAGCGTTTTTCTCAACGAATTCATCGTATCACACTTATGTCAATACACAGTAAGATGATTTTATCATTTAAATATTAAAACCTGTTTATTTAAATTCAAGTATGCTGCCTCAAAGAGTGGGCAGCACATTAAGTTTACTTTTCGTTAGTCAACTCTTCGCAGAGTTCCCAAAGAAAGTCTCCTGTTCAGTGATTACAGTCAGTTCGTAATTAGGATTGTAACACGTGTCAATTTGGAAATGAAATATAGATGGATCTTTCCAATCAGTAATAGATAATAGGGTTTGCCTAAAATACGAAAGTGACATTATCGACGAAAGTGAGCGAAAGTGACTTTTAAAATATGAATTATAGCGTTTTAATAGACTTTTACAATAAAATTGCAGGTCACTTTCGCTCACCTTCGTCAATAAAGTCACTTTCGTATTTTAGGCATACCATTAGATAATATCTCGGCTTCTTGTTTAATAATACATGTACTTGTATAAAACTATAAGGTATAAATTTACATTCTAATGATTACAAAAGAATGTTATTGCAATTAAAAAAAGACTCTAAAAAACACAGCGACTGATTTGTGTCATTGGTGTTCATGTTAAAACGATCTAAAGTATTTAAATAGGAATCAGTCCACAGTTTTTTGCCTCCCATTGGCCACAATTAGGAAGTAAATCCGCATAAAAGAGTGCATGTGTTTATTGCCAGATATAAATGAATAATTGAATGAAAGAGATAGAAAAAGAAATTTTCTGACAGAGTTCATTTCAAGTAGCTGGTAAATGTTCGTATAGGTGACACGTGATACCGTGAAAATGTTTTAACTTATATAAAGTGTTCTTTAGATCTGGTCCTGCAGGTTATATTTTGTTCAAACACTGAAGAATATTACTTAAAGTTTATGGTAAATATATCGTCTAAAAAGAATAAACTGTGTTTGTCATTCCTGTGTTTCTCATACAACATTCTTTACTCACACTTGTATCATAGGCACTTGTTTTCGGGATTATAAAACCCTTTTGAGAGGTTTATAGAACTCAAATTCAATTGAATGTAACGATTTCTTTAACGTAGAAGTCTTATCAAAATTAAACCGTCATTTTTCCTATGTTACTAAAAAAGGAAAAATGATGCTTTTTGGAAAGGAGACATCTACGTCAAAATATCGTTACATTCAATTGAATTTGAGTTCTACAATTAAAAGCTCTCAAAAGGGTTCTTATCCCGAAACCAAGTGCCTATGACTTGTATATGAAAGACGACATACGATATGTGCTTATCATAACCAAATGATATCATTCGTTAGATTATCAAGTCTTACATGTTCTATCATGTAATGGTTAGCACTCTGGACTTTGAATTCAGCGATCCGAGTACAATTCTCGCTAGAATTTAACCCATTAATTTTTGTTAACAGTTGTGATTTTTTTTTATCTTTTCATTTTATACTCAATTATTGGCCCAAAAAAAGATTTCTTTAGTTTAATATGATCATATAAAGCAACATTTCAATTCACGATCCGTGTAAATATATATCTTAAAAGATATACATATATATAGGCCTACAATTATATTTTTTCAGCTTCTATAGCTGGACTTCTGTTAATTACCATATTTATAAATTTAGTGTTGTCCTATAGAAGGAATTTTGGTAAGCTAAACTTGTAGTGAAATGTAATTTCTCTTAAAGAGCACGATTTTAGGCTTTGAAGTTAATATATTTACCTTGTCATTCGTCAGATAATTGAATGTATATGTGGATTTAAGTGTAGTTATAGGTTAATAAAATTATATGTTTAAGTTCTTTTTCAGTAAAACGATAGATACATAGAGCGATTGCATGTCAATGAAGTAAAAGCTTCTCATTTTCATATAATATAAATAAATAGAGGGTATAATGAATGAGTTAGGCTTCATTAATAAATTTATTAGATAAGATGAATTAAATTATTCGATTATTGTTCGAGCCTCTGGTGATCATGATATTTGTTATTTAACAAGTTTAATTAATTTAGTTTTGAATATAATATAACATTTTATCACATACCCGAAATGAAACCCTAAATCTCCAAAAATTGTATATTTATACAGTGGTACGATTCCGCCATAGTACGTATCCTCTCCAAATTCTTACATAGTTACTCCCCTTTCATAAATGATCGTCATTGACCCTGCACAAAAACTACGTTTTACAGTTTTCTCTCATAGAAATATCAGGTAAAAGAATGATTAATATTTATAGATTTAGTTTCATTTGATAGAAGTTTTTGAATAAAAAACATATTATTATTTTTCTGTGAGAGTACAAACGTTTATTATTCACGAATTAGAAAATCTAGCTAAATGCCGTTTTCCGGTACATAGTGTACATAGCTCTGGGGCGTATAATAACGAACTAAATAACGAACTATGTTATTAAGAAATAAGTTCTTTGTAAGAAAATAATTAAAATATCATTATATGAATAATTTTATGCAAAAAATGTAGATATACAGAAGTTTGTTTACTTTGAACAAAAGATAAATTCATTATGTTTTGTGACTTATATTCTTGGTGGTATTGTAAACATGTTTGTCTTTTTCATCTCTTCAAGTTTTAGTTCATTTTAACTGTATTTGTATGGCAAGTAGATCACATTTACACTCCTATCCCTCCTAATATCTGTTTGTATAACTAACTATACAATAATGAATTCGTATAGGCTAGATTTGTTTGTATATAAATTTGCTTGATGATAAATATTACTACTGTAATGATTATTGTGCTAGAATATGGATAGACAAAACTCTTGATTGAATTTGTTGATGAGACAATTGTCTTATTTGTATTTGATAAAAGAATGTGTTTATATGAATGTGTTAAATATGATCTCAGTTTATTGAATTATATTATATCAAGGTAATAAAATATCTTTTGTTTTCTCATAAATGAAAACTTAAAAATTTACGCAGACAAATTGCTACATTTATTGTAGCAGATGACACTTTAAAGATTGTACTTGTTTCATAACGTGTAATTCCCAAGAGCTTAATCTGTAACGTACCTCAAAATGTTGTTTAGCTAGATTTTTTAAAAGGTCATTTTTTTTAGTTTGACTGTAATAACTGTAGAAGCAATACGTTCAGAATTATCAATATCTCCCCTTAGAACCTAGAATTTTCTTTAAACAATATTATTTTCAGCTTGACTATTTGATAATATAAGTAGATATATGATAGTCATCTATTTGTAAGGAATGTTGTGTGTAATGTTATTTGAAGATAAATCCAGTTGAAAAGTAGCAAACAAAATGCGGTTAAGACATTTTTCTGGCATATCGGAGAGTGGTTTCTACTGTTAAACAGGAGCTACTCCACAAATATCTTACAATGAGTTTGGTACATACATGGATATTTTGCAATTTGCCCATGGTAAGTTACTATTTAAAGTGTAAACAAGGCTATGTCGAGTTCCCACCATGAACTACCCGAAAGCTGAATACACCCATCTGTAGCAACCTTTTTCTTTAAAGTCTCATATAAATCCTGTTTCAGATAAGGACATTTCTATTTCCATATTTCTCTCAGAGCAGCTTCTGATCTAAGAACGCAATATTCAATAATAAAAGCATCATACTGGCGTCATTTTAAAGTGGGTATATAAAATGAGATTGTTTAGTGGACGTTTTAAAATCCTATCTAATATGCAAGCAGGAATTTTTTTTTGTGCACGTTAAATGTCTAACCATTTGTCCGCATATAAATATAATACTCTTACACAACTTTTGCAGACTTAATGCAACTTGTGTAGACTTAACTTTTTGACCTGAGGGAATCTGTTTTGCTATTTAAGTGTACAATTTACTCAGAGAGTCAGACATTCCTGTCTGTTATGAGAGACAATGCATATTTCATTTTCCTGGAAAAAATGCTATACTTTCTACTGGATCCTTATTACTTACGCATTAAAATTAGAAAATATTTCTTATAGCAGAAATGAGGTCATCTAAAGAATGCAGATCATTCTTAAAATTAAAGTACAATGGAACAAACATTCATCTTACATGTATATAAGATAACTTTTGTTCTTTCCGAGGACGAAATTGTGGCGTCTTTTTATGAAAGGAGTTGCGTGCTTTTGATGATGTCACTCAGCATGTTGATAGAATACATCAGCAAAAAATTTTAAAATAAGCGTGTTAGTTTTATTATTTCATAATATATCGATTTAATTGACAGCTCCACATGCATTTACTTAGTAAGATGAATATCCAATATCAGTACATTGTACAGTGCAAGCAAAACTTAAGACCCTGGGTGCCTGTAGTAAAATGTTAAGATTTGTAAATATAAGGTGAATCATACTAGTGAAATGTGTGATGATTTCTTTAATTCCAGGTCTTACTTCTAGCGAGGAAATAAAAGCTGACATGATGGACAGTAATCTAAACAAAGACACACTTTGTGAGAAGTTATCACCTGAATTGCGAAAAAGTGGTGTTCAAAGAAATAAGATGCTCAGTCCGTGTAAAATGACACATAGATGTTATATTTGTGATAAAACATTTACTCAACGAAGATCTGTGAAAACACATATGACAATACATACTGGCGAGAAGAATCATGCATGTAAAATTTGTGATAAAGCATTTTCTGATCGAAGTTATTTGAATAAACATATGAGAATACATACTGGCGAAAAGAATCATGTATGTGACATATGTGATAAAGCATTTTCTTTTCGAAGTAATTTGATTAGGCATATGACAATACATACTGGCGAGAAGAATCATGTATGTAAAATTTGTGATAAAGCATTTTCTGATCGAAGTTCTTTGAATAGACATATGAGAATGCATACTGGCGAGAAGAATCATGTATGTGACATGTGATCAAGCATTTTCTTATCGAAGTAATTTGATCAGGCACATGACAATACATACTGGCGAGAAGAATCATGTGCCAAAACCTTTTCTCACCGAATTTCTCTGAATATCCATATGACAAAACATACTGGTGAGAAGAATCATAAATGTGACATATGTGAGCAGCAAAGTAATTTCATCAATCATATGGCAATACATAGTGGCAAGAAGAATTATCAATGTGAAATGTGTGATAAAAATGTTCTCAACGAAATAATCTAAATACACATATGACAATACATACTGGCAAGATAAATCATGTACAGTGAGTTGGCCAATAGCGGGTCACTAGCGAAACTTTTAGTGTTTATGAACGAACGATTTTTAGATTCATATATAAATGTATGATGATAAGAAGTATTTTTATTCCCCTTTTACTGTATACTTCTTGTGAATTCATATTTTGAATGCATCGTGGTGTATTTACCATTTCCAAACCCTTTGTAAACATGCCAATAGCGGATCAAATCGGTCATTAGCGGGTCACGTGATATACGAACGGGGGGTTTTCTCAAAACATTAATTATCTGTCAAATTCTTCCCTTAACCAGGAAAATATTACACAACTATGTGTTACCGCTGAGTATTAAAGTGAAAGGGGTACCAATAAGTAAAAAATCCAAGTGACAGCTGCATGATTGTGATAAAAACAATAATGATTATAGTTTTGCTGATCTAGATATCTGCTCAATGAATTGTAAATTGTGTAGATAACATATTTATTTCATTTTCAGGGTTACAGGGGACAAAGCAGCTCATCGAAGCAATTTTGTGCACATTCTATGTAAAATTCCATTAAATTAACTGTAACACAAGTCATTTTTTGTGAATCAAAAGCTTAAAATGCAGTCTCAAGAAATGTGCATGTTCTTCTATGTTGTCATTATGAGGATACACTTTCTAAGAATAACAAAATTGTTTTTCTCTTATTGAGTACACTCTGTGATATAAACAAACAAAATTATAACAAAATACATGTAACATGTACAGTCACTTACAGGCACATTATGTGTATGAAAGATTAATAATTCTGTCGAAAGTGCAAAAATGAGTTTAAGTATGTTGTAATAGGGATTTATATCATATGATGTGATGCTTATCATCTGATAAAAATACCTTTGAATATTAAATCATTGTGATAAAGCAAGTAAATTAATACAAAATACTAATTAACTTTTACTGTACTAAACCTAAGCAAAAAGGAAACTAAAAATGGTTCAGAAATATGACCAATAAGTAACTTTTGGAAAGTGCAAAATTGACATTAAAAATAACTAAGCTTTGAAAAAATAAAGTGATAGCCTTAAAATAACAAGACTTTGAAAAAATAATGATAGCATTGTTAGGCTTAATTGGCTTTTACAGAGTTGAAAATTTACACATGTTTATTCCTTGTTCAGTGTCATAGCATGGCCTTCTGGGATTTTATCTAACATTACAGAAAGTTTTTGAAAATTACTCTCAATATCTGGGTGAAATATAATATAGTTGCATGGCAACACAACCCCACCACCTTCAGAACTTGGAGCCGGCCATGGTGGGAAACTCTGAGTAGGCTCACCGGTAACTTCAGCTTCGATATGTCCTTTGTACGAAAAAAACCAGCTATCCCTCGTGGAACATGGCCAATTGGAAGTCCTGCTACATTTTGCAACCGTAGCTGGCATTTTTAGCTCGACTTTTTTTTTTTTTTTTTTTTTGGAAAAAAAAGTAGAGGTATTGTTATAGTCAGGTCGCCGTTGCCGTTGCCGTCCGCAAACTTGTACCTGGATCATAACTTTTTTATTTCTTGGTGTATTGTCTTCATACTTGGCCACAACAACCCTTTGGACAAGACCTTTCAGTAGACCACACTAACCTTGACCTTCATCCATAAATGACCTTGACCTTCAAGGTTAAAAGTCCAATTTTTGCTTGTTCATGCTGTTATTGGCTGTAACTTTGTTATTTTTGAATGGATTGTCTTCAAAGTTGAACATAATAATCTTCAAGGATATCCCTTAAAAATAACCGACATACCTTGACCTTCACTTATAAATGACCTTGACTTTGAAGGTCAAATTATTGAAATTTTCATTTTTTTGGCTATTATTGGCTGTAACTTTGTTATTTTTGTGTGGATTGTCTTCAAACTTGAACATAATTATCTTCAAGGATATCCCTTAAAATAACTAGACAGACCTTGACATTCACTCATAAATGACCTTGACTTTGAAGGTCAAATTATTGAAATTTTCATTTTTTTGCTATAATTGGCTGTAACTTTGTTATTTTTGAATGGATTGTCTTGAAACTTGAACATAATAATCTTCAAAGATAACTGTAAAAAATATACCGAAAGACCTTGACCTTCACTCATTAATGACATTGTCTTTGAAGGTCAAATTATTGAAATTTTCATTGTTTTGGCGGTAACTGACTGTAACTTTGCTATTATTGAAGGGATCAACTTCATATTATAACAGAACATTCTTAAGGACCAGACATCGTTGTTTAAGAAACCCACATTTGCTTTGGCTCTTTAATGACCTTGACCTTGTAGGTTAAATTACTGAATTTTCTCAGATTTGTGCATTAAATGACCATAATTATATATTTATTGGTGTGTGTGTGTGTGTGCGTGCGTGCGTGTGTATTAACAACAACAACAAGAATTGCGTCATTGTTTCTATTTATAGAATTGCGTCATTGTTTCTATTTATAGAATTGCGTCATTGTTTCTATTTATAGAATTGCGTCATTGTTTCTATTTATAGAATTGCGTCATTGTTTCTATTTTTAGAAATTGCGTCATTGTTGCTATTTATAGAAATTGCGTAATGTTGCTATCTTTAGAAATTGCGTAATGTTTGTATTCATATATATATATATAAAATATATAAACAAAACTAATGTGACAAGACAGACTAACTAAATTTATAAAAAGTAAACGTTAAGATATGTTCAAACTTTTCTAGCCCGGCGGTGGCTATTGTTGGTCAGTGACACTATCATGTAACAATGTTTGGAATGACTCAAGTGGCGGCCATCACACCAAGCAGGCATCAGTATCATGGTTATTTGTATATTCAGGCTCTACAGTTAGACGTGTTGGGGGTGTAGTTGAAAAGTGGTCTTATTTGAAAAGCGTGATACCCTTTGATAACTGACTTTTTAAGGACCATGGATTGTTCTGAAGTTTCTTGAAAAATAAAAATTATTTCATAAATAAAGGAAAATTATATTTAACAATAGATTTATTTATATAAAAAAGTAATCTAATGAGTATAAGTTAAGAAAAAAGAATAAACAGTAGCACAGCATTAAAGCATTTATTTATTTTTTATGGGCTAGCCAGGTTTAAAACTATTATTCTTTAATTCATACTTTGTGTAATAAAATTTTAATTTACATTTATTGACAATCTGGGCAAAAGAAGTCTGGGTTTTTATCAACAGGTCTTGAAACACATTCTGCATGCAACCACCTATCACAGCCATCACACTGCATTCACAGTTTATCAAATCCATATGACATATCTTCTTCCCAAGTAGCCATACACCCCTTACAAAAGTCTGTTCTCAGTTCTGCTTTATTAACTTTATTTGTTTTACTCTTTTTCCCTGGTGCATTTCTTTTGCTTCCATTAATCTTAGACTTTCCTTTCTTTAAGGCATTCTCACATAGATTTGTTTTACTCTTTTTTTTCATGTATGCCAGTTTTGCTTGGTCTGTTCATCAGTTGATTGCATATTATTATCAGCATCTCGATCGGGGATCATTGTATGACTGAAATGCCACATCTGCTAATAAATCCAATCCACTTTTTTAATCATTCTATCAGATGACACAGCAGTACTAACTGGATTTGCTTTCTGATATAACTTTTTATAAATGTCAAAACAGGGGGACTGGCCTTCAATGTCATAGCTGTCACAATAGAGACTACGATGGGATACCAGGCCGACCACAATTGCTATCTAAAACAACCAACAACTCAGAACAGAAAATATATACAAATTTATTTACAAGAAATGAATATTTATAAATGAAAAATGATTATAGATGAAAAGTCACTGCGTAAACAAACACTATCAACGTATCTCAGTCTATTTCTCCCGTAAAGTTTCTGTCATGATGTTTCAATAAAGTGGTGGCGTTGTTGAACAAAATTCGTCACAATGGCGGGGATCTTGTATAAAATCTTATCAAGCGTAACTGTACTTCATACAGTGTTGGCACAGTTGGATAGGATCCTGAACAAGGGCATGCGTCACCCTTTAGCCATGGACATACGTGTGGAGGGCCCGTGTCATCTTCGGGTGTGTCCTCAAATAAGAAGCTACAAAGTATAAAACATGATAAGTTCCATGATAATCAAACATAAGGGTATAATAAAGTCCCTTGGAAAAGACTCGGCCTTTGTCGGTTTCCAATAAAATAACGTGCTTCTTTGAATAAACAAAATGTCCACTATAGTACACCATACATTCCGTGGAACAAAAATTCAATCACATCCGCATAATACTGCGTTGCAAATATATTCAAATATACGCCACATAATAACCACCAATAAATAAACGTCTTCCAAAATCATGCCACTGAAGATCCTTCTCTAGAGATACGTTGTATTTACTTATAACAAAAACTGATGATAAATGAAATGAAGTAAGATGATAACGTAAATTAAATTGATTGAAACAAATCATTACGATACTGCAGCATTTTACATAAAGTTACACAAATACGGTAGAACCATAATAAAATTATTTATGAATAGATATATATATATATCTATAAAATATTCATAACTCCTATACAATTACAATATAATTAAAACTTCAATTAACATACATCAATTAACATGTCTCGGTATAAATTTGCAAAAGCGAAACACTAGAATAAAAAGAGCTTTTAAAATTTAATCTGCAAAAAATTAGAAAATTTAGAAAACAATAAATTACTGCCAAATAACTAAACCTGAATCAAATAAACTATAATTCTAATAGAAAATAGTATTTTACGAAATAGCAAAAATTTATGAAACAAAATCACTAGAAAATTAAATTTACCTTGTACAGGCTGTAATTTTATGACAAATATAATTTGTCTGTCACCGTCATAGTGACCTGTATAACGTCCAGTGCATTGCAATATATCACTTAAAATTTAGTCATTATATAGCAAACTACTGAGTACTGAGCGGGAAAACGGATCGTGCAAAACATGAAAAATCGATTTGCACGAAATAAAGCTGGACGGCGGGAAAAATAGTTATGTAAAATAAAGGCCCGTCCTTCAAATACAGACATAATACATATATCTGGTTCATAAAACAAAAATGTAACTTTCTTATTACTGAAAGGATTTTTGTGAAATAAACGGCAAAATGTTTAAATTGAGACATGGAAATTTATGCAAACCATAAAAATACTCTAAATAATAATTTCACCCGAAAACTCTAAATTAAACAAAAGATGATGCAATCTCACATCAATGAATATAGAGTAAAAATGAGGATCGGCGTGAAAATATAATGCAAGATTTACAAACGTACTTTCACTTTGTGACAATAGCCTTCAGACAACCGTGATTGATATCTTTCACGCACAGGAGTAGATAACGTTTCTTGCAATACTTCAAGTGCTCCCTTTGCCTTGACTTGTTCAAGATATTCCTCTACTTCAACTTCTTTGATGTACTAGACTTCTTCGACTTATCATTGCAGAATGTCAGCCCGGGTTTCAGACATTCACTTGAAATAACTGAGCTATCCACTGGATAAATTCCTGAAGCTTTGAAGGCATTGATAACAGTCAGAGGTTTGTAAAAGTTCAAAAAAGCCACTGTTAACTTCTGGCAAAATATCTCTTTCCCAATGCATCTTCCAGGGTTTTCACGTGCAAATTTTCTAGCAACCAAGTGCCATTTCGTTTTCAAAGGACCGATACACCTTTGTCCAAGGGTTGCATCAAATGTGTCGCATTGGGGACAATGCGATACAGCTCAATGTTCTTTTCCTTTGCTTTCACAAACACTTCTTGGCTAATGTGACTTCCAACACTGTCTAATAGTAACACAACAGGTCGCTCAACAACGGCAAATTTATCGAAGTGATCAATGAACTTTGAAAATGTTGTGCCGTCCATCCAGCCTTTCTTCGTATAGGCAATATAACTTCCTTCTGGAGCTCCATTTAATGGGTCATATGCTCTAGGCTTGGGCTCAGGAAAAACAAAAACTAGTGGCATCATTTGTCCTGAAGCATTGCCACAGTACATCACAGTTAGACGTTGCTTTCCAGCACTTATCTGAGGCACAGGAATATCCTTACGGGATGGACCTATAACTTTGCTCTTGTTTGCACCCATGTTGAAGCCAGTTTCATCCGCATTCCAAATACAACCTGGTTTTTCCAGAAAACCTTTACTGATCAGGAAATCCTTATAATTTGTGTACCATTCATCAAGTGTCTCTTTTGAAAGTTTTGAACGCTTCAGTTCAAGAGGTGTTTTCTGAGCGTAAACCAATTATGTGTGCATTCCAGTTTCTTAATCCTTGATATCAGCTGTAACCTGGTCTCCCCTCAAGAAATGGGGTTTAACGCTTCTCTTTTCTAACAATGTCTTGAACAAAGTCTAAAAACTCACACATTCTGAGGCCAAAGCCCCTCTGGGCCATCTCACTTAACCACTCAGCCATAGATGTTTCTTCCTGTTCAGTGAAAACAGTAGCAGGACCTTTCATAGCGTTGATGTCTGTTTCCCCACTGTATCTCCTTTGCAAAAACCCGTACGACAGTCCATACTCACATGCAGCTTTTTCTTAGTGACATACTCTTGTTACTTACACTGTATAGGGCTCGTCTCACTCTCTGCACTTTCCAAGGACTCATTCGCTTCCCTCTGTATTTTTTACCACTGAGGAGGCTGCATTCTGGGCTGGACTACATTGAACACTCTTTCTCTTTCCCTTAGGCATTAGAATCTGAAACAATAAAACAAGTAAAAAATTGAGCTTGTCAAATAATTCTGTAAAAAAATGAGTGATAAAGTAATAAATTTTGTCACACATCCTGTGGTTGATGATAAAAAACATGTATTTGAAGTTTAAAATGGATAACTTAAAAATAAAGAAGTTACTGTACAGTTAAAAATAATATTTTAGAATCTAGTCAAGAGCTATTTCAATGTTGCAGCAGTTTATACTACATAAAACACCATATTTTAGCATGGACTGCACAATTCACTTGCAATAATAACATAAATGAATTAAATTTTATATTTATTTGTATACAAACCAAAATTTGCTTTAAAAAATATTTTCTAAAACCTATTGAATAACTTTTAGTCGGTCCCTTCCTGGAAAACTACATGACACGCTATTGGGCAATGTGATGCAATTTAATTGACCAGCGCTATCACTATAATTCATCATGCATTTTTTAAACGGCTGCTGCTGCAGATAGTTAACACATTGGGTATCAAATACCTACAAGCTTTGATCTAATATCTTTTGGGGGTTTTCGGCAATAAGGCAGCGACTGCGAATTTGTGTTGTTACTGGCGCAATATTTCGCGACAAACGGAAACGCTTAGTAAAGCATCTGAATGAATCTGATTAGAATTATCCGGATGTTTACATTTTTTTTTCGCTGTCGAGTAGCTAACATCCAAATGCACATGACTGTTAGGTTATAACACTTTTAAGTTCAAAATATTAAGTAAAATAATTTATTAAATTACTGACTGACCAGTTATTGGCTATGACCCGCAATTGGCTAACTCACTGTATGTAACATATGTCATGAAGCATTTTCTCAACAAAAGTCTCTCAATACACATATGACAATACACACTGGCAACAAGAATCATCGATGTAAACTATGTGATAAAACATTTTGTCATTTGGCGCAGCCACTCGTGAAATATGAACTTTTGGTGTTCACAAGGTGAAATATATTTGGATCTTACACTATACTTAAAAAATTTTCTTTTTATTATATGCAAAGAAACGTTTTAAAAAGACATTAAACCTAATTATAATACGTACTGGATGAAAAACGCGCCTAATAATAATACAACGTTCCCAGTACTGTGCACGCAGGTATTTCACTGAAACAACGTAAGGGGCTTAAATTCAAAACAGTGAAATTATCAAATTGATAATTTTACTGTTTAAAACAGTGAAGTTATCAGTTTTATATCACTGAAATTTTCTATATATTTCGTCGGTTCCAATATGACGGTAGGGACGGGCGGAATCGATTCAATTTCAATTTATTTACAATAACTTTTAAATAAATTGGGGGCGGAATCGTATTGGATACATAGAGAAAACTAATAATCAATCTTTGTATTAATAGTTTATTGCACTGAAAGGCAATTAAACGTGAATTTTAACACTCCTCGTGATTTTGTCACTATAGGCAAAGAAGAAAAAACCGGTGTTAAACTGCCACGAGATTGCATAACTTATTATTAAGAGTGCTTAAGATTTTGCCATGTCAACATTATACTTTAGTAATATTTTGTTTAACAGTTATAGTTTATGGTAAATATATTGTCTTAGAAGAATAAACTGTATTTGTCATTCATATGTCTCTTATAAAACATGCTTTATCATAGGCTATTGGTTTCGGGATAAAAAAAACCGTTGAGAGGTTTGTAGAACTCAATTCAATTGAATGTAACGATTTTTTAACCTAGAAGTCTTCTAAAACTGTCGGTTTTTTATTTGTTTGGGTCGTCAGACCAAACAAATAATGGTAGCGATATTTCAGAGCCAAATGCTGTTAATTGCAAATGCCTAAAGTAATCCACTTTTTAAGCAGTTTCTTCCCTTTATATGTACACTAACGCCGAAATATTCAGGGGAGATCAATGCGTAAAGATTGTCAAATGACAGGCGCATTAATTTTCAAGCAAAGTAGTTCCCGAATAGTCGAAGATCTCTAATATTGTTTCATTTTTTATAGAAATACATGCTTACAGTAAGCTCCATGATTATTTACATCTGTGTTAAACAACAGGTTTAGCGTCGAAATAATAAGAGTTACAAACCCTAATTTACAATAATATGGTTTTCTTCAGGCCGTTAACATATAACTTCACCGTGTTTGAGGGGTTTGCACGCTCGCTTATGAGTCGAGAGGTCTTAGAGTTCAAATCCTAGTTGAAACAACCCATTTTTTCAATTGTTTAAGTTGAATTGACTATCTGTGTTGCAATTAGTCTTATAGCCAATATTTACTACAGTTAAACACTGGAAAGCATTGGTGGCACTATACAAAAACAAATTGGTTTATAATCTCACAACCTTCACCTTTCTGACAGTCTGAGACCCAAGCAAATTCAGCGCCTTATGTGCTTTGATTTTCAATGTTACTAAAAATGGAAAAATGAAAAGTTAAAAAAAAGTATATACGTTAAAATATCGTTACATCAGAATCTTTCAAATAGAAAGACTCTGGTTACATTCAATTAAATTTGAGTTCTACAATCTCTCAAAGGGCTTTTTGTCACGTAACCAAATGTCTATGACTTGTATATGAAAGACGGCATACGATATGGGATAACCATAACCAAATAATATCATTCACCCGATCGTCAAGTCTGTCAACCATCTTACAAATCACATTATAATTAATTTATGATCTGTCCGATTGTCAAATTTGTGACAACGTACCTGATAAACTGATAATAAACAACATATGTGTTTATAGATAATATATGTCTATGGTTCATGTACAGGTTCTATGGTGTAATGGTTATCACTCTTGACTTTGAATCCAGCGAACTGCGATCCGAGTTTAAATATCGGTAGAACCTATTTTTTATACAATGGTGATTTTTTTTTCATTTCATACAAAATTATTGGCCATTAAGGATTTTTAAAGTTAAATATGATCATATATATAAGTTAACATGTCGGCTTCTTCTTTCATTGCAAGATCCGTGTAAAAAATAGCTACTATACCTAGACTCCTGTTTATATTATGACCATATTAATAAATTTTTGAAAGCTAAACTTGTAGTGAAATGTATTTGAACTATAATTTCTCTTAAAGAGATCACTTTCATGCTTTGCCTTATTTATTTATATGAAGTTAATAATATATATATATGATATCATTTTCAGTTAAAAGATAAAGACATAGAGTGAATTACATTTCCACGAAGTAAAAGCTTCATTTATATATAATATAAATATATAGATATAGAGTGTTGAATGCGTTAAGCTGCACTTCTAAATTCATAAGACAAGATGGATAGAACCTCCTAATTGGTACATTTATACAGTGGTACGATTCCTCCTAGGTACGTAACCTCCAAATTCTTACATAGTTACTCCCCTTTGAGACATGATCGTCATTAACCCTGCTAAAAATATATCGTTTAACAGTTTGTCTAATAACAGGTAAAAAAAACGTTTAATATTTATAGATTTTGTTTCATTTGATATAAGCCTTTGAATAAAAGCATATTGAATTTTTTTTATATTTCTATGAGTTTATCTACAAACATCATGATTGATTTTTTCACGAATTCTAATCCTAGCTAAACGCCGTTTTCGGTACTTTCTGTTCATAGCTTTTGGAAATTCACCAAAATCACAAAATGGTGTATTGAATAACGATCTGTGTGTTTATAGCCTTTTTGATTGAAATGAAATAAAATATATATTTCTGTATAATCAAAATTTATAATTGAATGAATTATTCCATGCAAAAAAATACAAAATTCAGTTGTACTGAACTAAAATAACTTGATAACATGTATCTTGAAGATTAAATGAAGTTGACCTTTTATCACTCTTTTGAAAGTTTCCATTAGTGGATTTTAGTTAATGGTTTACGTATGCCATAAAAAACTTTCTATTAGTGACGTCGCTTTGAGTGACAGTGGGTTAGGGGTGTCATCGATTGAATCAATATCGGTGTATCAACGATCTTTGTTATCCGATTCGATATCGATTCCATTTTTAGCTCAACTATTCGATAAGAATAAGTAGAGCTATTGCAGTCACCCGAGCTTCGGCGTCGGCGTAACCACTTATGTTAAAGTTTTTGTAATAGTTCAAATATTTTCAAAGTCCATAGACATATGGCTTTGAAACTTTGCACACTTGTTCACCATCATGACCCCAACCTGTAGACAGGAGGAGGTAACTCTATCAAGCATTTTGACAGAATTATGCCCCTTTTTCGACTTAGAATTTACGTTAAAGTTTTTGTAATAGTTCAAATATTTTCAAAGTCCATTGACATATGGCTTTGAAACTTTGCACACTTGTTCAACATCATGACCCCAACCTGTAAACAGGAGGAGGTAACTCTATCAAGCATTTTGACAGAATTATGCCCCTTTTTCGACTTAGAATTTACGTTAACGTTTTTGTAAAAGTTTAAATATTTTCAAAGTCCATTGACATATGGCTTTGAAACTTTGCACACTTGTTCACCATCATGAACCCAACCTGTAAACAGGAAGAGGTAACTCTATCAAGCATTTTGACAGAATTATGCCCCTTTTTCGACTTAGAATTTACGTTAAAGTTTTTGTAATAGTTCAAATATTTTCAAAGTCCATTGACATATGGCTTTGAAACTTTGCACACTTGTTCACCAATATGACTCCAACCTGTAAACAGGAGGAGGTAACTCTATCAAGCATTTTGACAGAATTATGCCCCTTTTTCGACTTAGAATTTACGTTAAAGTTTTTGTAATAGTTCAAATATTTTCAAAGTCCATTGACATATGGCTTTGAAACTTTACACACTTGTTCACCATCATGACCCCAACCTGGAAACAGGAGAAGGTAACTCTATCAAGCATTTTGACAGAATTATGCCCCTTTTTCGACTTAGAATTTACATAACAGTTTTTGTAATAGTTCAAATATTTTCAAAGTCCATTGACATATGGCTTTGAAACTTTGCACACTTGTTCACCATCATGACCCCAACCTGTAAACAGGAGGAGGTAACTATCAAGCACTAAGAATAGTGGAGCGTTGCTGTCCTACCGACAGCTCTTGTTTAAATATCGGATATCGAATGCACATATAATTTCTAGCTAAAGAGACTTCAGCGAACAGGTTTTATAGAATGAACAGACCCTATTTACTGTCGCAAAAACATCAAAAATAAAAGCGACATATAAAGTTATGAATGCCAGAAAATAATTTTTTTTTCTAAAAATGAAAACGGAAATCAATGCCAAAGGTTACCTCCCAGTGTCCTCTAACAAATGCTGCCTAAATTTCGTTGCAAGTCTGCTAAGTGGATGTATAGACCCCCTCAATTCAGATTTTAAAAAAGGGAAAATGGCAAGAAAATTTGTCAGTGTTTTTTTGTAAAAATTATGATTTGACAAAATGTTAAACTTTAATAATTATTCAAACACTTTAATTTGCCAATTAACCCGGCGTAATTGGAACGGCAAGGACAAGATTTAGCATGATCAGTAACAACAACAACTAAAGTACCAAAATGGAAAAGGCTTTAAACTTTATAGTTACTATAAAGTTTCATTTATAGCTATATATGATAAAAAAGAAACAAATTGTTCAGTTTTCATAGTTTATCAATATCTTTTTTTGCATTTGTCTTAATATAAACTGCTTTTTGTCAGTGTCCTTAGCAGACTTCCCGAAAGTTGAAAAAAAACTGTCAGACATAGGGTTGGACACGCGGTTCCCGTATATGTCCTATACTGATTAGTAAACTTCGTAAATAACCAGTATATACCGTTTCGTAAAATACTGGTACGGGGTTTGATACTTTTGTTAATTTTGTAAAAAAATAATTTAATAGTCAACAATTCAAAAAAAAATAAGAAAGATTTTTAAATAAAAACAGCCTACAAACACGTAAAACAAAACTATGAACAACTATTATCATGCGGCGAGTACGGCTTTCGGGGCAAAGTTGAAGTTTGTGAAACGCCGGCGATATTTTTGTAAAAGTATTGTGCCACTTACGTTCAAGATAATGATATTTTTTGTACTCAGATGGAAAATATGATTATTTAAACTGATTTTGGTAAAAGTTTGTAAGTTTTAAATGTCAAAGAAACAACGAGAAAACAATTCAAATACTTGAGTAATCATCGGAACATCGCACACAGTCCCTTTCCAAACACATTGCACGCAGCTTTTGCCGTAATGACAATGTAAATCCAACATATGACAATTGTTAATTCAAACAATGCTTTTAAAAATAATTAAATCCTTTTTTCAGTTTAAGTTTCTAAACACTCATAATTAATACATATTTAATGTTTTTCCAGGTTCTTTTCTTCCATTACCACATGTACAAGTCCACACGTGAATTACGATTTGAACATAAATGAGACCGAAATATTCCAACAAAATATGCCTCCTTTTGTCTTTGGTGTAAACACTGAACTATTATTAAACATGAATACATTTTCGTAACAAAAGAATGCTGACAGAACTTCAGTCAAAATTGTGAATGTCAGCGGCTCTTTGATGGTGATAGAGTAACAACATCAAAGGGAGGCATATTCTTTTGAATAGCCTATTATGCACCCTGTCAAAAGGTCAACTTGTGTGTATTACACATTTAGATCTGTGATACTTTAAACAACTGAAACATATTTCATATAGTGTTTTGTAGGATTTTTTGCAAAATGTTGGCTAGTATTTTTTGCGTATTTGAAAGGCAGTAGGGAAATTTATGCAATTTGGGGGAAAATATTTTTTTTCCCTTGTAGAAAGATGTTCACGGTGTATGCTTTTAAAAAATAAAAGATTTTAAAAAATTTTAAAAAGGAAATTAATTTTAAATAAATACCAAACCCTTTATTTTTTTGTAAAGAAATGGGTATTTGTTTAAAATGCTTCTAAAAGGACAAATATTGGTTAACATAAAAATTTGTAAAAAAAGTCTTTTTGGGGAACAGTCTGATCGGGTGATTACTTTGTTTTTCCCAAATTTCTAATTTAAATTACGGGTGGAAAAAAATTTTTTGTGCTTTTAAAAAGTAAAACCCAGACTGGAAACCCTAAGTAAACTTTGAAAAAAAACTTAATGACTTTTCTTTAAATTTTAATTCCCAAATTGAAAAGTAAGCCAGCCAATCCAGTGATTTCATTTATTACAGTAAACAATAATGTGATTTAAAAAAGAATATCAGCATCAGAATAAAATTTCTACACAGTAATAATAATAGCTGTAAGAAAATAAAAGATAACCAACTGTCTTAAATTCTTTCAGATGTAGAGATATCAAGATTAAAACAATAATTTGTAGACTTCTCAGCTGCAGACTGCTGTCCTGCATAAGATATTTTGCTGTGTTTAAATTATGTCATGTTCTTTTGATGAAAAAGTAAAAGTATTTTACAATTAACAGTAAACACAAAACAACAAAACATGGAACTTGAGAAAAGTATACTTTACAGCATGAAATTTCAGAAAGACCAGTAATGTAACATAATTATTTTCTAGCACTATAATTATGTTGTATCTCTTCAGTTCTTATACTTTCAGCAAAGGGTTTGATGTGGTATTGTAAAAGTATCAGTATCGATAAAAATACCTGTATCGTTTCGTCAGTACCGGTATCGGTATCGGACTGTTTCATGAAGAACGATATCCAACCCTAGTCAGACATTCGGTCTGACAAACCATGAAAATCTGTCGGACCGAAACGAAATCTGTCGGACCAAATAAAATTGATCAAAATCAAAGAATGACTTGTGTTTGTATTTCTAAATCACTTTTTGTTTTTATTTTTTTCGCAGTAAAATCGGCACATTCCTTAAAGCGCATTTTCATCTCCTCCCTATCATACACCAACGATTCACTGTCTTGCTTCTATTTTTCATTGAATTTTGTCTCAGGTCTATTCTTTTTATCCTTTTACTGCTGTTTTGCCTCAGTGTTCCTCTGACATAGATTTTTTATTTTTCCGAGTATTGGCACCTTTAGCGACGCCATTTTGTATACATGCGGCTTGGATAAAAGCCGGACAGTCGGACTGGTCCGGAATAAAAACTCGTCGGACCTGATCAAAATTTATCGGACATGTCCGTTGGCCAGATGTATTTCAGGAAGTCTGCCTTAGGAAACATTTAAAAAGACTTGAAAGCTAAAATTTAGCCTGGCAATCGATATACTGCTGTATCGCCGATAATTCATTACCAATATATCGATACAAAAATCCTTATCGATGACTAGTGATGTTCCGATTGTCGCAAGTTGCCGATAATCAGTTACTGTTATGTAAAGCGACAATAATCGATTCACATATATTTGTTCCGCGACATCGTCGAAAATGTTTAAAGTATCAAAGGGAATTAATTCTGACGTAAATTTTCTTTTAGGAACACCTCGCCGATCGCAAAAAATTATCTCAGCGTCTATTTGGAGTTAAATAGGATCAATACGTGATGTAAACAATAGATATATAATGTGATGTGAATGTTATTATTTGTCATCCATTGGAAAATTAAATCTATATGTATTTCTTAAAATTATAACTAACTATATAGGATTAAAACTGTAAAATGTTTCTTCCCTATTTCTTTTTAACGCGACTTTAATCGAAAAGTTATCGATTATGTCCCATCCGATTGAACCGATGATCGATTGGGACAAATTTCATCCGATTTCCATCACTATCGATGACACCTCTACAGTGGGTATATCATTTGTGGTAAACATTTTTGCCTTTTTTCATCTCAAAAAGTCTTAGTTCATTATAACTGTAATTGGTTGACAAGTAGATCACATGTTTAGATTCCACCCCTTCCTATTTGTTTTATTCGTATACCTAATTGTACAGTAATGGATTAATATAATGTTCTGAATGTTTGAATATTTGCTTGATGGTGAATATTAAACTACCCCTTATACTGCAATGATTATTGTACAGAACTATTTTGATTGAGTTTGTTGATGAGACAAATCGTCTTAGTTGTATAAAATAAAAGAATGTGTTGGTATGAATGTGATACATTATGGTCTCAGTTAACCAAATTATAACATATCGAGGTAAAAATTTCCCTTGTTCTTTCTTTTAAATGAAAACTTAAACTTTTACGCAGAAAATTACTGTATTTATTATTAGCAGATCCCATTTAAATTGTTTACAAGTAATTTCCTCAGAGCTAAATCTATAACGTACCTCAAAACGGTGTTAAACTAGATTTTTGAAATGGTCAATACATGTAGTTTAAAACCGGACAATATGAAGAACATGTATATGATGAGTTGACCTACAACCCCCCCCCCCGGCGTCCTTGTTGTGATTTCAGATTAAAGTTTTGGTGCAAAACAATACATTTAACTTTATTTTTTTTTTTTCAATTCTTAAGATATCTACTTCAAACTCTAAATATGTGTCACATCTAAGACAAGTGACAAGGTTCATAACTGTAAAAGCAATACTTTCAGAATTACCTCCCCTTGAACCTAGAATTTTCCTTAAACAATATTATTTTAGCTCATTCTATTCAATAACTTTAGACTGGAGATTCCAAAAGTCATATTTTTCGTAAGTTTGAACCAATCGTGATTTTCTTGAGCCAGTTTAATAATTTTGGAGCCAATTTACTCATTGGCTCCTGCCAGCGCGAGCCCTGGATAAGAATGAGTTGAGATATCCTAGTCATCCAAGCACCTACATGGCATAACAAGTTATGTTCAAGTTTGTGTATCAAGTCAAATATTTTCAAAGTCCATTGATAAATATTGATAAACTCATTTAATGAAATTCTCTAGTTTTTTTTTTCTGGCTATAACTGTGTTAATTATCAATGGATTAACTTCATATTTAGATACAACATCTTTTAGGTCAGTAACTTCATGTATATTGTTATTTAACTCAAATTGACATTGAATGTAAAATTATTTCCTTTTTCACTTAATTAATATTGTGGTATAATTAACGTAACGATTAATCAATGAATTATTTTCATACTAGAACAAAACAACCTTTTGGAGAAGACCTTCTTAAAAAGTTAAATTTATCTTCACATTTAGCTTTAGATGACAGTCAAAGTATTGAATTTTGGTTAAGTTGTCACAATTTTGCTTATTATGTACAGATTTGATTCATGCGTGAACAGAACAACACTTACATCTTACATGTGACCAAACAGACATGTGGAATATTTATGATATGACAGTGACCTTAAAATGACCTTGACCATCAATTGTAAAATTTTGATTATATTTTTCTTAACTCTATCATTAATTTTTTTTCTTTAAATTATTTTTTAAGATTTTTATAAACTTTTGATTAGTTTGCTTTTTAAAGAAGTAAACAAGTCAAGTGTTGTCCCTACCCGAGGGTGGCTCTTGTTTGCAATATTGACATGTTTTGTCAGTTATTCTGTCAGTCATTTACTGGATAAAAATATCATTCTATTATTCTTTGATTAAGTGGCAGAGATAAATCTGTATTATGTTAGTTGATGATGGATCTATATGATCCAGTTGAAAAGTAGCGAACAAAATGCGATTAAGATAAATTTTCCTTACATATCAGACAAGAGTTTCTAACTATTTGAACATGTGCTAGGCTACACATATTGTACACTGAGTTTGGAGCAGACTTGGATATTTTGCAATCTACCCCATGGAAACTGTTTTAAGTGTTACAGAGAATATGTTGTGTTCCCCCCCCCCCCCATAAGGTACCAAAAGCCGAATATTCCTATCAGTAGCAACACAGAGTATTTGGTCCTTTTTCTTGAATGTTACATATAAACCATGTTTCAGATAGGAACATTTCTATTTCCATATTTTTATCAGAGTAGCTTTTGATCTAAGAATGCGATATTCAAAAATAAAAGGGGTTACAGTGGCGTCATTTTTAGTGAAAATATATAAAATGTGGTTGTTTATTATACATTAGAAAATCCTGTCTTATAATATGCAAGCACTAAATAACTTTTCTGCGCAACTAAAATGCCTAACCATTTTGCTGCATAATATAATACAGTCGACTCTCGCTATCTCGAAGTCATCGGGACCGTCTAAAAATATCGAGATAACAAAATGTCTGGATAAATATATTAGGGTTTGAATAAGGCAGAAACTGAATTTTACAAAAGACATGTGCAAACATTATGTCAAATAAACTATGATATCCCTTTGTCTTGTTTTCATAGGCCTAGTCAATATTTAACAAAGTAACATAAGCGGATGTTTACCAGCGGACATACAGGCGTCTGTGATAAAAACACATAGTTAGGTTTACTCATTAATACACCAATATAGTGAAAACATTGTTTTCAGGGTGGTTGATCCGAATATCCTCACTGGTTATCAATCGGGTCATCCTCGATATTGTTCGATCGCTGAATTGGATTTGCTGGTGATGTTGTGAAACAATATTGCAACGAAAGCGTTTCTATACTTTCACTATTTCATTTACATTTAATGTCATAATGAATTGATACAGTGTTCGAATATTTATAAAGAACGTAAAATTCACTCATTTTAGACATAAGTCAACCAACACTCTAAATAGATAATTTTTTTTATAAAAACAGCTTTAAACTTGTTACAAACATAGTCATCATTATGACACAGACGAAAGAAAATTATAAGTTGAGATAAAGGAAGGATATTAGTGTGTAAATAAATGTTGGGGCTGAAATTTAAATTTTACATCGAGATACTGAAATTTTCGAAATAAAAATATCGATATAAAGAAATATTTCCAATATAGATAAAGAAGTAAGAAAATCAGGACTTTCATAATTTCATCGAGATAACGAAATATCGAGAAAAGCGATGTCGAGATAACGATAGTTGACTCAGTACTCTTGCACACCTGCAACTTGTGCTGACTTAACTACTTGACCTGATAGCCAGATATCCCTGTCAGTTATGGCAGACAATGCTTTTTAGCTCGACTTTTCTATGAAAAGGGGAGCTATCCTACTCGCCCCGGCGTCGGCGTCGGCGTCACACCTTGGTTAAGTTTTTCGTACCACCCCACTTTATTTCAGAAGTATTACAAGTATGGCTTTGAAACTTACCATACTTGTTCACCATCATAACCTCCATCTACAGACAAGAGTACATAACTCTGTCAAGGTTTTTGACAGAATTATGGCCCTTTTTTGACTTAGAAAGTGTATTGAGCTTGGTTAAGTTTTTTGTACCACCTCACTTTATTTCAAAACCATTGGAGGTATTGCTTTGAAACTGACCATACTTGTTTACCATCACGACCTTCATCAACAGACAAGAGGACATAACTCTGTCAAGGTTTTTGACAGAATTATGCCCCTTTTTGACTTAGAAAATACATTGAATATGGGTAAAATCCACTTATTGCCTTAACCCTTTGAGATATTGCTTTGAAACTTTAATGCTATTTCACATCATTACCCCCATCTGTACGCAAGAGAAGGTAACTCTGTCAAGGATTTGTTTTAAAAATTAAGGCCTTTTATCGACTTAGAATCTTGGTTAAGTTTTTTAGTACCAGTCCACTTTTTGACTGAACTGTTTGAGATATTAATTTGAAAGTTGGAATACTTGTTTACAATCATGATTCCCAAACATGTCCAGGAGAAGGTAATTCTGTCAAAGATTTTATTTGAATTATGGCCCTTAACTGTCAATGTTTTGTATTATAGGCAAGCACTAAAAAACTTAAAAAATCTAAAAAAATTCATTCCTATCCACTTGTTCACTTTACCATAAATTATGTCATAATAAAATAATTCTTCACTAAATATCTTAATGCTCATGGCCATTGTTCACTTTAAAAATACAGAGATTCTTGTATTGCCTTTTACTGCAAAAACTTTTTTTATTGGCAAGCAATAAAAAAGTCGAGCGCGCTGTCTTACGGACAGCTCTTGTTTATGATGTTATACTTACTATGGAAAGAAATGACTTTCTCCTTATAACTACGCAAGTAATTTGAAAAAATTTCTAAATAGCAGAAATGAGGTCATCTCATCATATATCAGCAAAAAGTTTAGAATAAGCGTCGTTAGTTAATTATTTCATTATTATTACGATTTAAGTTTTACAGTTCCACATGCATTTACTTAGTAAGATGAATATTATATTCCAATATCAGTACATTGTACAATGAAAGCAAACTTTAAGATGTTAAAATTTGTATAATGTGAATATTACAAGTGAAATATGTGATGATTTCTTTAATTCCAGGTCTTACTTCCAGCAAGGAAATAAAAGCTGACAAGATGGACAGTAATCTAAATAAAGACACACTTTGTGAGAAGATATCATCTGAATTGCAAAAAAGTGGTGTTCAAAGCAATAAGATGCTCAGTCTGTGTAAAATGACACATAGTTGTTATATTTGTGATAAAACATTTACTCGACAAAGTTCTCTGAAAACACATATGACAATACATACTGGCGAGAAGAATCATGTATGTAAAATTTGTGATAAAGCATTTTCTCGAAAAAATTCTCTGAAAACACATATGACAAAACATACTGGCGAGAAGAATCATATATGTAACATATGTGATAAAGCATTTTCACAACGAATTAATTTGGTCAGACATATGACAATACATACTGGAGAGAAAATACATGAATGTAAAATATGTGATAAAACATTTTCTCTTCAAGGTAATTTGATCACACATATGCGAATACACACTGGTGAGAAGAATCATAAGTGTGAAATATGTGACAAAACATTTTCTCAACGAAGTTCTTTGATCAGGCATATGACAATACACTATGATAGGAAGAATCATATATGTAAAATATGTGACAAAACTTTTTTTCATCAAAGTAATTTGTTCACGCATATGACAATACATACTGGCGAGAAAAAACATGAATGTAAAATATGTGATAAATCATTTGTTCATCAAAGTAATTTGATCAGGCATTTGAAAATACACAATGACGAGAAGAATCATTTATGTGACGAATGTGGTAAAGCATTTTCTCAACGAAATAATTTGATCAGGCATATGACAATACATACTGGTGAGAATACACACTGTTGAGAAGAAACGGCCTCTGTGGTCGAGGGGTTATAGTCCATGACTTCTAATCAAGTTACCTCTCTGGCGTGGATTCGATCCCGGGGAGATGCTTTGGATGTTTAGCATGGAGGAAGGTAGTCTAGTACTGGTGTAACTGATCTCCATGAACAAAGGTAAGGAAACTACCTGCCTATTTGACTGAAATACTGTTGGGAAAAGGCGTAAAATGAAACAAACAAACAAAAGTTGAGAAGAATCAAAGATGTGACATGTGATAAAACATTTCCTAATCGAATCAATTTGATCACACATATCAAAATACACACTGGCAAGAAGAACCATATAATTTATGTTAAATATGTGACAAAACTTTTTCTTATCGAAGTAATTTGTTCGGGCATATGACAAAACATACTGGCGGGAAAAATCATGAATGTAAAATATGTGATAAAACATTTTCTCATCGAAGTAAATTTGATCACACATATGACAGTACACACCGGCAAGAAGAATCATTAATGTAAAATATGTGAGAAAGCATTTTTCTCAACGACAATATCTTATCAAACATACGACAACATATACTAGTAAGAACAATCATAAATGTAACATTATGTGGTAAAACATTTTCTCAACAAAGTAATTTGATCAAGCATACGACACAAGCACACATGAAAATACACATTGGCGAGAAGGATCATCTATAAAGAATTTTCTCAATGAGTTCATCTTATCAGCCATATGACAATACACACTGGCGAGATAAAAAATCATAATTGTAAGGTATGTGATAAAACATTTTCTTAATAAAGTTCACTGATGAAACACATGACTATTTATACAGACAAAAATTCCATGAGTGTGTTTGCGTTTGTTTACCCTCGCAACCAGTAAGAAACCGTATGGGTGAGCAGAAAAAAACAACATAAGTGTGATGTGTGTGATAAAGAATTTTCTACACAATGCACCCTTATGAGACATATCAAACTAAAAGATATTGGATCAAAGCTGGTAACTTACATGTATATTTGATGCTCAGTATGTTAAGTACCTGCAACACCAACAGTTTAACAGATCTGGAACCTGTCGACTCCGATTTCCGGATGTTTTTTTTCTTCAATTTTTGTTCTTACTTTAATCTAAAATTAACCTCTTGGATCTATTGCACTTATGTTGGGGCTTGTGTCACACTTTGATCAGGTTAAAACCACAAATTACACACTTATTTGATATAATAGTAGATCTTTATCCTGAAGTTTGATAGCTCTAACATTAATGTAGACAGAATTATGGCTGTTTTTGAACTTTTACATTATAAAGGCAATTGTTTTATTATAATTAAAGCACTGAGAATTGTCAAGGACGCTGCCCGTCTGTCAGCTTTTGTTTGATAATAAAACTCTGTTTGCTATCATTATTGATGTACAGTTCAAAATTGCAGACTTGACATGTCTAGGGCACAAATCATTTTTGTAAGATTTAAGATTTATTTTTGCATATCAGACAGGATTATCTACCATTTACACCAGTGCTTGAAAACTCTGTGTTACACCTCCTATGTAAGACAAGTTGCATGCTTTTAATTGCCGTGTGCCTTTTATGAATGAATTGCAGTCTTAGGATGACTTCCTTTTACCGTCATGAATATACACTACTTAAGAAAAAGTGCATAATCAGTTTTCATAATTTCTGTTCTGGAAATAATTGATGTGTAATATGCAAGAAAAAGAATCAAACACTGGCTGTCCCTGTACGAAAAATCAGCATGGCTTTTATGAAAAACAGGACCGATTCAGGCCTGTTTTGAACCAGAATTGGCAAAATCAGGGTGAAATAGACATGGACCCTGAATTTTCAATAAATCTCACATGGGAATTCAAGTATTTTCTACCCCGACACCGTCTTCATTTTGGTAAAAGTCAGGGTGGAGGCAGGAATATTTGCACTTTGAAAATATTTTGGCACAGATTTTACTGACTTTGAGAAATATAAGCAAAATCTACCCAGATATTTCAAAGTTAGAAAATTTTCTAGAACCAGTTTCAATAAGTCTTTAAAGTTCTTCATTTCCAGCCTGATTTTTCTGACTTAGAGTTATTAGAAATGAAAATTGCAATACACTAATTATACATTTTACATTGCTGTTCAGACAAAATTAAATTTTAAAGTCAGAAGAAAAATATTTTATAATGTCTATTTCTAGAAAGTATCACTTGATTTATGGTAAACTCCATTTAACAAAAAATCTTTTCAGTTACTGATTTTTTTAAAATCAATATGTAGATTAATTTGAGATTATTTAGATTAACATGATTTATTTTTATCTATGAAATTGATAATTGTTATCAGTAATTGATTGTATCAATATTTAACTTATGGCAAACAATTTTTTTATTTCATGCATAATTTGGTCAGCAATAAGTAATGTTCAAGATTTTTAGTTTTTATCCACCATCTCACAATCTGCACAGAATCTCACATGTCTAAGGTCAGCTTTCAGTTTATATAAACAAATAACCTTCAAGTGGAACTTTGTACAGTATTTCAAAATACTTTATGTTAAACTGGGCTATCTGGCAGATGAAAATACAGAAGTTACCACAGATTGACCGACAGCAGTTTAAAATCCAGAGCAAATATCACACCCTGAAAATTGTTTCCAGCATGGTCATTTTCTTTTGAAAGATTGGAGGCTTAAGTTGTGATTTTGTTTCAAATAAATCAACTTACACTTATATATATTAATATATAAATGAGTTTTGATAATTATATAGATAATGAGATTTAAGAATTCAGCTGCCCCAGCTATAAAGAACTTTCTTGGAAAATTTATTGTGAAACTTTAAAATATATATAACATGGAGCATAATAGATGTGTTAAACCTCGTTATTCGTTTTGAAAAAAATGGAGGGAAATTAGCAGCCACTTGTGACAGATAAATGGTAAGTTATAATTTAATTACAGTTCTTAATATTTTTAATTTTTCATAAAATAATGAATTTTGCAAGCCAAGTATTCTGAAAAGACCTTAAATAAATTTCCAGGAAACCTGTTTTAAAATATGGAGGGAAAATAGAAATCATTCTTAATTTTTCTAAATAAACTATACATTTTGATCATTCCATTTTAGAAAAAAAAACTCTTAAGTCTTAAAATGAAATAAAAATTATAATAAAATAAATTTTCTTCTTTCAAAATTTAGGTTGAAGCCAAATATTTCAGTAACACGTGACAAGAGAATGAAAAGAAGAAAATGGTGTAGTTGGAACAAAAGAATACAATAGAAGAAATATTACTGGTAATTTTTATTTTCTTTATTTTCTATCAAAATTACTTTCAATTTTAATTATCAAAAGTATTCATCCCTGCAAATTTTATAGAATTAATGACTTCATAAAGTCAGTACATAATTTATAATGTCTATAATGCTGTAACTTCTTTAAAATAATTTCATCAATCATTTGTTCTTTTGATTTTTTGATTGCAATTAATGCAATATATATCTCTAAAACTACATTGTATGGACACATTTCTCTATATTAAGGTGTTACATTTTCTTTTAGATTAATATATAAATTGAAAGTTGTCTATAGCATATTCCTACACTGCTTTCATATGTTTACAGATTGTGCAGTCCAGATACTAGTGGAATTATGTAATACAGCTGACAGTTATCAAGTGGAATTATCAAACAAGAATGACTTTTGAAATGTATTTAATTGTATAAAAATCAAATACAGATAAGTGAAACAAAATTCTGAATTAATTATTATTTTGTCAAATGTCATGGATGAAAATTTATAAGGAAATAGCCACCACTGAATTGTGAAGATGATCAATTCAGCGCTATTTTCATCAAATTAATTTGTTTGTTTCTTATGAGCTACTTGTGATCACCTATTATTCTATTTTACATAATGCTCAGAATATGATGAAATTTATTTAAGAATATTTTCTTGGACTGGTTCTAAGAAGAACAGGAATCTGGGTGGATTTTTATTTTAATTTCAGGGTGGGATCTGCAAAATTTTAGGGCGGGATAATAGCAGGAGGAAAAAAGTCTGGCCTGACTTTTTAAACAGAAATCAGGGTGAATTATGGCTCATTTAAATATTTCAAATTTATCCCACCCTGAAATTGCTCTCAATTTAACTAGAAGTAAATCTATTTTTAGAAATCTGTGTCAGTGAAAATTCTGCCCTGGATTTCCATTTCAGGGTGGTATTTTTTCTGGCTCATTTAAATATTTCGTTGAAACCACCCTGAAAACACTATATATTGTATACTAAAAAATCTAAAAATAGATTTCTGTCTTCTCTATAGTCAACTGAATAGCTTAAAAAACCTGGCTGGGAATAAATGTCTTATCCCATGTCAAATCAGGGTGTAGTCAGGGTAGGCATTTTCGTACAGGACAGAACAGATGGAAATATCTAGCTCTCGGGTAAGTGTTTAGTGTAAACTGGGCAGAGCCTCATTACCGTAGTAAACAGTTACCCTAGAGCTAGATATATCGGTCAGTACCGGCAGCCAGTGTAAGATTCTTATATATTTATTGTTTCAAAATTTATTGAAAAATATGGTATTTCAGTGACCCTTAATGATGACGAGAGGGCTTGTTCCCAGTTAACTTTGTAACAGCAGACCTGTCAGTGGAACCAGAAGAACGTATGTATAATGTTTATATATCATCAAGTTGTCTCAGTATGCCACCTGTTACAAGTTCAAACTGCTATGAAACTATGAAAAAGTATCTAATACTGTTCAAACTAGGCACAAATGTTGACTAGACCATAACCTCTGTAATGGCATACTCAGTCTTAAATTAACTTTTACCATGGCAATGAAAGAACATCTCAAAATTGCCAAAAATCATTATTTTGCAATGATTTTTCCATCAAAAACTGATTTCAAAATGATGCAACTTCTCAATGATTGAGATAGAGTCAAAGGCTTTTCGGTGTTGGTTACATGTTATTGTATGTTTGAGGCCATTTTTAGCTTCTCAAAAGTGAAAAATTCTTTTGGAGAGGGGATGGCGCTGAAAAAGTAATCATTTTTTAAACACCATTTCTCAAACGAAAAGTGTTTAGGGTCTAAATGGGATAATTTTTTCACTATTTGAGGCCCCAAAAGAAGAAAGGAGAAGGGCTCGAAAAGATGTCTATATGAATTAATGGGTTAAAGACCATGTCGAGGAAGATGATTTTTTGATACATGCATGTATGTGTCAGAGGAAACTATCCTGGATGAGGAGCTTATATCTTAAATTATACACAAAGAGATTTTTCCACTAGAATAAATCAAGGGACCAATATGATATTGACCATTTTTGTGTGACTTGAAGACACCTGATATAATAGTGTTAGCAAAGTTATATTACACATAATATTCTAGCTTAAATGTTAATCTTAGTACATATGTATTTTATATATATATTCTATATATTTGTATAGCAAAACGAAAGGTAGAGTTTAGTGAAGAAGTTCAAGTAAAGATGATAAAGGCACCAGAACAGCTGGAAATTGATGAGGTAAGAATGGCTAAAATAGAGATACCATAGCTCAGTCATTTTGACAATGCATTATTGTTAAAAACGAACCTCAAGTTTACCCCTTGTGGCTGAGGTGCTGCCTTTAAGGGTTGAGACATCAGAATTACACCAACTGTATATCCATGCGTGATCATAAGAGGTGACAAAATTGATTCAAATTACTGGATTCTCTTAGCTCCAGCAGATGGGGGTCACCAGGTTTTGACCTCTAGTGTTGCTTTAAGTTTGTAACACCTGAGGGTAGCCAAAATCATCTTTCCTGTTTTCAGCGTGTTAAATATCCCTTAAAACAAAACAAAACAAACAAGCATTATATTCTGATTGATTTTCGATCCCAGTTTTTTGATTATAAGAGATCATGTTTCTAAGTTCATCAAAAATGTTAGTACATGTATCATAACTTGTAACTTTACATACAATTATTAATTTTCATAATCCATCTTTAAGTCCATCTTGAAAAAAAAATTGTCATTATTTCAGTCAAAGATAGATGAAATGTGGCAGCAGATACAGAATACTGACCTCACTGGAGAGACCTGACCGGATACCATGGAAATGTTAAGTTAGAAGGTATTGATTTTATAAATTGAGCATCCGCGCAGTCTGATCAGGATCCATGCTGTTCGCTATCAGTTTCTCTAGTTGTAATAGAGTTGGTAAGCGAACAGCATGGATCCTGATCAGACTGCGCGGATGCGCAGGCTGGTCCGGATCCATGCTGGTCGCAAACGCACTATGTTGGTTTTGTCGTGACGCGGCTCAATTGTTGTTTTTTAAAACTTTGAAGTATATGTGATATTTGACTAGGTCTATTACTATGGAAAAGTTACTATTTGAAGTTATTGGTAGACTTCTTTTTGAAATAATAATTGTATTTCATCATGGAAATGTATATGATCAGAATTTATTGATTCTGTACTTGTCTGTGAAATATAAATGATATAACACTGCTGCAGGAAGATATACACATGGTGTTGGTAACAAAAATAAATGCTTCGATTTTATTTGACATAGTACTTCAGTAATAATAAGAAGTGAAATATAAATGATGAATCTTTAAGTATTAGTAAAATTTCAATGGTGTTTTAAAGGCGCTTTATGCCTCAGAAACTCATACTTTTTTAATTCTTTGGAACTGTCAAATATTTGTTTAATAATGTTTTGATAATGCATTTAATGCATGTTAGATGTTATATAACTTAGGAAAGTAGCGCTGAGCATGTATTAATGTGTTGTAAAGGTAGCAAAATGTAAACAAAGTAGCATTTTGACTTCCATATTTCCATAAAAATACTGATTCACTAATGATTATAATTATACCAATTGCCAACAAAGAAAAGTAACAAAGATAGTTCATGACTATATCTTATGAGTATTCTTGTGGAAACTGTAACAAGATACCAAAAATAAAAGTTTTTGAGGAATAAGATTGATAGCATTTCTGAGGCATAATTGGCCTTTCATGTAAGTATCAATTCTGCGTAGAGATTTAAAGGACCTTATTTAAATTGTTGAACATGTTCTGGTTTTTATCAGCATCCAAGCTCAGTTGGATTTGTGCCATCCAGTATGCAGGAAATACTCTTTCAACTTTGTTTTGTTTTCTAGAACAATGTAACGCAATGGGTCCACTGATAGATGCACAACTGGAAAAGATTGTATGTCTTTATATTGCATATAATACCCTACAAGTCAATCCTAACATTGATGTTTCCATGCTTTGGGCAGTGCAATGGTTGATAGTTGGGCAAATGATTAGGGATCTTACCTTGTGTGTTTACATCAGTATTGCCATGGAAGTTTGATTGCTTTGTTTTGGCATCTAAATATATGTTAATTTCTCATTGCATGGGGGTATTTAACTATAATAATCGTCTAATAGTCTCTGCATGACAGGCCATTAAGCCATTTACCATGAGTTTAAGAAAATCCAGAATTCAAATATCGCTGCCTACCCTCAACTGGGACAATAATTTAATTGTTCTGTCAAATCAAATATATTGATAGTACAAGGAGCAATATTCAAGTTAAAGCAACAATGTTAAACTTAAATGGGGACTTTCTAGCTTTACTAGTGGTGAAATACCTCAGATGCCCTTTCATGCATTATTTTAGGCTTGAGAACCACTGACCCTTTTTGTGCTTGTTGGATAATTTCCTCAGGTGAAAATTTTGGACAGGATTCGAACAAATAGTAATGAGAGGCAGGTAATTTGAAGTCTTTAACCTTAAACACTTGTTTTTATTAGACATCCTTTCAATTTAAGAACTATTCTTTAATTCTGTTTTTTTAATGTTTAAAATAATTTGCAGGAGACATGCTGAGTAATGTGGAATTCACACCAAGGTGTTAGAAGCGTTGCGGATGTACGATAACTTAATGAAGGAGACACCGATGCCATATGCTTACACACAGTCAAAGTCAGGATATAACCCTGCTTCAAGCATGACGATGCCCCCCTGGATCTGTGCCACAGGTTGGTATTTATATTGGTTTATTCCTACTATATTGTCTATATACAAAGGAAATAAATGCCAGAATATCAAGTATGGATTGGTTATTATCGATATAGAAATAGTCTTCGTCCGTCCGTCCTTCCCTCAGACATTTTTGTCCGGAGCATATCTCAAAAAGTATTTGAGGTGTCAACTTGAAACTTCATAGGTGGATAGGTCATATTGAGGAGGAGTGCATTGCACAAGAATGATAACTCTACCTTGCATAAGTTTTGAGTTATAGCCCTTTGTTATGTTTCTAACTTTACCTTTGCCTAGAGCATAACTCAATAAGCCTTTGAGATATCAACATGAAACTTCATAGGTGGATACATCTCACTCAAGAGGTATGCAGTGCACAAGAATGATAACTCTACCCTTCATAGTTTTTGAGTTATTGCCCTTTGTTATTTTTATATGCCCGAAAGGGCATATTATGTTATACCCCCTGGCGTCTGTCCGTCCGTCCATCTGTTAGCAATTTGGTTTCCGGAGCATAACTTAAGTTCCATTTGACCCACAATGTTCAAACTTCATAGGATGATTGTCCATATTGGGTAGAAGATCCCTATTGATTTTTGGGTCAAAAGGTCAAAGGTCAAGGTCACTATTACCTTGATACTGAAAACAGTTTCCGTCTGTTAGCAATTTGTCCGTTAGCAATGTGGTTTCAGGAGCATAACTTAAGTTTCGTTTGGCCCACAATGTTCAAACTTCATTGGATGATTGTCCATATTGGGTAGAAGACCCCTATTGATTTTGGGGTCAAAAGGTCAAAGGTCAAGGTCACTATTACCTTTATACTGAAAACAGTTTCCGTCCGTTAGCAATTTGTCTGTTAGCAATTTGGTTTCCGGAGCATAACTTAAGTTCCATTTGGCCCACAATGTTCAAACTTCATAGGATGATTGTCCATATTTGGTAGAAGACCCCTATTGATTTTGGGGTCAAAAGGTTAAAGGTCAAGGTCACTATTTCCTTAAAACTGAAAACAGTTTGCGGAGCAGAACTTAAGTTCCATTTGACCCACAATGTTCAAACTTCATAGGATGATTTTCCATATTGGGTAGAAGACCCCTATTGATTTTGGGGTCAAAAGGTCAAAGGTCAAGGTCACTATTACCTTGATACTGAAAACAGTTTCCGTCCGTTAGCAATTTGTCTGTTAGCAATTTGGTTTCCGGAGCATAACTTAAGTTTCATTTGGCCCACAATGTTCAAACTTCATAGGATGATTGTCCATATTGGGTAGAAGACCCCTATTGATTTTAGGGTCAAAAGGTCAAAGGTCAAGGTCACTATTACCTTAAAACTGAAAACAGTTTGCGGAGCAGAACTTAAGTTCCATTTGACCCACAATGTTCAAACTTCATAGGATGATTTTCCATATTGGGTAGAAGACCCCCCTTTTGATTTTTTGGGTCAAAAGGTCAAAGGTCAAGGTCACTATTACCTTGATACTGAAAACAGTTTCCGTCCGTTAGCAATTTGTCCGTTAGCAATTTGGTTTCCGGAGCATAACTTAAGTTTCATTTGGCCCACAATGTTCAAACTTCATAGGATGATTGTCCATATTGGGTAGAAGACCCCTATTGATTTTAGGGTCAAAAGGTCAAAGGTCAAGGTCACTATTTCCTTAAAACTGAAAACAGTTTGCGGAGCAGAACTTAAGTTCCATTTGACCCACAATGTTCAAACTTCATAGGATGATTTTCCATATTGGGTAGAAGACCCCTATTGATTTTTGGGTCAAAAGGTCAAAGGTCAAGGTCACTATTACCTTGATACTGAAAACAGTTCCGTCCGTTAGCAATTTGTCCGTTAGCAATTTGGTTTCCGGAGCATAACTTAAGTTTCATTTGGCCCACAATCTTCAAACTTCATAGGATGATTGTCCATATTGGGTAGAAGACCCCCTATTGATTTTAGGGTCAAAAGGTCAAAGGTCAAGGTCACTATTACCTTAAAACTGAAAACAGTTTCCAGAGCATAACTTAAGTTCCATATGACCCACAATGTTCAAACTTCATAGGATGATTGTCAATATTGGGTAGAAGATCTCTATTGATTTTTGGGTCAAAAGGTTAAAGGCCAAGGTCACTGTTACCTTGATACTGAAAACAGTTTCTGTCCGTTAGCAATTTGTCTGTTAGCAGTTTGGTTTCCGGAGCATAACTTAAGTTCCATTTCGCCCACAATGTTCAAACTTCATAGGATGATTGTCCATATTGGGTAGAAGACCCCTAGTGATTTTGGGGTCAAAAGGTCAAAGGTCAAGGTCACTATTACCTTAAAACTGAAACAGCTTCCGGAGCATAACTTAAGTTCCATTTGACCCACAATGATCAAACTTCATAGGATGATTGTCCATATTAGGTAGAAGACCCCTATTGATTTTGGGGTCACAAGTGAAAGGTCAAGGTCACTATTACCTCGATACTTAAAACAGTTTCCGGAGCATAACTTAAGTTCCATTTGGCCCACAATATTCAAACTTCATAGGATGATTGTCCATATTGGGTAGAAGACCCCTATTGATTTTGGGGTCAAAAGGTCTAAGGTCAAAGTCACTATCACCTTAAAATTGAAAACAGTTTTTGGAGCATAACTAAAGTTCCATTTGGCCCACAATATTCAAACTCCTTAGGATGATTGTCCATATAAGGTAGAAGACCAAGGTCACAAGGTCAAAGGTTAAGGTCATTATTAATAACTTAAGTATTAATCAAACTACATCTGTAAAATTTAATAGGATGAACAGCTAATTCCCATGTCTTACAAATGCTTCATCCTTACTAAAAAAAAACACTTTCGGGCATATAATGCTCTGCCTAGCGGTGCTCTTGTTCATACTTTTTGTCCAGAGCTTATCTCAAAAAGTGTTAGAGATATCAACTTGAAACTTCATAGGTGGATAGATCTCCTTGAGGAGGAATGCTGAGCACAAGAATGATAGCCTACCCTGCATTATTTTTCAGTTATTGCCCTTTGTTATTTTCAGCCATCAGTATTCACATAGGTTTCAATAGCTTTTATCACTCCAGCCATAAGTTTTCATCAACAAAAGACCTCTTAAAATTGAATTAATTTTGCTCTACTACATAATTTTATATATTCTTCCAATGAGCGAACACATCGGCGGGGGATGGCCATGATAACATGGCTCTTGTTGGATCTCTGATCAATAGTTTGATTTGTTGTGATGTTGTCTTTTAAAGTAATTCACATAACTAAGTCACATAAAACAATTTTACTGATTTTATTCATACATGTATTTAGTTTCATTTTAAAATCTATAAAGCTATTATTTACAGAGATTTTTGTTAGAAAAACCATAGTTATAAGAATAATAAACATGATCATACAGTTTTTGAAAAGTTCATAACTCAGAGTTAATATTTAAAGAGCTAAATCACTTCTTACTGTCATGCGCTGAGAATAGTTCAATGGACAGCTCTTGTTTGAAACAAACAGTTTATATTAAAGGTATGTTAAGGTTTAAACAAGAAATGATGGTATAATTATTTTGATGCACATTTTATTTCAGCAATTCAATGGCACCCAATACATGCCATCAGCAGCCATGAGTCAAATGCCACAAATGACCCAAGGTCAAGGTCCAATGGTACTAGGTCAAATTGGACCGATAGCACAGATGCGACAAATGTCTCAAGATCAGGTCAGATGATTCCAGGTCAAGGTCAACCTCAGACATACACAACAGCCTCTAGTCAAAACTATAATAATAGGTAGTAATTAGTCATTATTATAACTTCTATTCTCTGTTTGTGATACAATTTGACTATTTTGATACATAAACTTCTGTAACTATGCCTTATAATAGGAAAACGTTAATGTGATTTAAGTATGTATGCCTCAGAATTTTTAACTGATATATTTATCTGTTATGAAAGTTAAGTTATTTTTCAGAGGTGAAAACTTATTATTAGTAGATATACAGAATCAAATGTAGTTACAAATTTGTTGTCTTGCCCATGTTTGTTGTCTTAATCTAGTTTAAATGTTCCATCGGATAATAAATTTTTAGCAAGGTTTAGCAAAGGTAACACTTGTTACCCTTATCAGCTGACAAGGAAAGACAGGAAACAATGTTTGAAATTGATACAAATATTTGTGAGTATTTCTCATCTTTCTGTATGTTACATTATATAATTTACCTAGGGGCTAAGACTTAATACATGTAGCATAGTTGAGGATAACTCTATATGATCAAATATTCTTTCCTGTGAAATGTGTGTAGGAATTGCAGATTGAAGGCTGATAGTTCTTCCAAGAAACTTGCCATTTATGTATTGCAGACAAACCCTCTTTTGACATTATGAATTGTAATTACTAATTTTACCTTTATTTTCAGTGCACACAATTTACCAGGTCAGGAGCCTGTTATAATGCAGTTAAATCACAACCCCAACAACCACACCCACAGCAAAATGTAGTTCCACCGCAACAGAGTATTCCTACTCATAATGTGAACGTAGTTCCGTCACATTCACAATATGGATAAGCAATGGGACCAATGAATTCTGGTAAATATATGGTACCCAGTTCAAGTGACTTTGTACCAACAGCCTATATGCCAACAGCAATTATTGTGAACATATATGAACAGATTCTTGGAAAAATAAGTGATTTTTAAATGAGCCGCGTCATGACAAAACCAACGTAATGAGTTTGCGACCAGCATGGATCCAGACTAACTAGCCTGCGCATCTGCGCAGTCTGATCAGGATCCATGCTGTTTGCTTACAGACCCTATAACAAGTAGAGAATCTGATAACGAACAGCATGGATCCTGATCAGACTGCACGGATGCGCAGGCTGGCCTGGATCCATGCTGGTTTCAAACCCACTATGTTGGTTTTGTCATGACACGGCTCATTTATTGTTAAGGAAATGTGTTATTCAACATATGATAAGGTTGTGTTCAGTATAATTATGAAAGTAGTGTAAACAATTTCGGGTGCTTGTTTTAGTTATTTTAAAATAACCCATGTCACCATTATAGTCAGGCCAGCTTGCTCATTCATATATAGTCTTATAATGTCAATATTTTTAAAGGAACTCCACTGAGGTCAAAAGCCTAAAATAAAAAAAAATGAAATTTTTTTATAGATCAACTGGGAAACTCAAAGCAGAGAATATGCAAAAAGATGATAGAAAAATATCAAACAAATTTAACTGAAAATGGATAGTTTGTACCATTGTTAGCTCTTTATGAGTTATAAGTGTTTAAAGGCTTTTCTTTTTTGTGTCATTTCCCTTAATAAAAAATTAAAAATGTTTATTTTAGAAAAATGGAGAAAGTGAATGATCTAAATTTTTGCATGTTATTTTTTATCCATAACTTCATCTCATTGTACACAAATTAGATAAATAACTATTCAGTCCTGCCATGTGAAGAAACCTCAGTGGAGTAGTCCCTTTAAGTATCAAAGATGTACAAGTAAAATGGTTTCCTGCGGTGAACATTTTAATGATATAAAAATATTTTATTTAACTATTTTCAACATTATTTGGGGGGGGGGGGGGGGGGGGGGATAAATAAACGTTTGTAACAGGAACATAGTTGACCATAATCGAACAATATAGAAGAAGGTCTTTGGAAACTGTATGTGACCATTGAAGACCGGAAAAGGTCAAACATAAAACAATTATTTCTTTTTAAGAAAATGATTACATAGGCCTACCATTTTATGAATAATTCCGACCAAAAAAGAATAAAGTAAACGCACAAGTTTACACAGAAAACAACTCTATTATGACAGATGCCACTACGAATATTTTAATTTTGTAGATTTTCAGTATAAACAATTTATTGTTTGTAAAATTTGAGATATATATTGAAGAAACATTGATAATTTTCAAAGACATTGCTCATGTTTTTCCACCTTAAAGGTAAAATAATTATAGAAAGTTAGAAATATCACGTAATAGATTTTTGTTTTCAATTAGGTGTAATTCGGACTAATTCCCTACATGTAAATCGGTAACGTACTGGCAAACGGTATTTAGCTGGGTTTTCGAAAAGGTCAATTAACCAATCATATACGGTTTACAAATCACATGCTCCTCCATGTACCGAAAACAGGTCACATGCTCCTCCATGCCTCAAAAGTTAAACGCATACCAATACCCTGCGGTCTCCAGACCGCAGGGAATGTCACCATAGAGAAAGAATACCTATCCTAATTTAGTGATATAATGCTTTTGAGAAGGGATGGAAATTTGAATGTTTAAAAACGGGTCCTTAAAAACATTTTTTTCTCAAATTTGTATAATTTATTATTATGTAACTTCTAATATACATGTATAATGTATTGGTATATATTTGGATATTATATCTGTAAAATAAGAAATAATTATGTAAATGAACTAGGAAGGAAGTTTTTCACTATAATAGTAAGTAATTTTTTTTTTTTTAAAGTTTAATAAATGTATAAAT